TAAGAACGGTAGCGCGGGCATCAACTTTGAGCATACCGGCGTTGACGGACACACGGTGCTTCGATTTGCCAGCGATGTTTACACTGACACAATTCTCCGCTTCGCCCGCACCATCAACGGCCAAGCACCTAGCCTGTGGGCAACATCGAGCCCGGATCCTGCTAAGCGTGACCCTCGGAGTTTTGGTAACGTCAGCACAACTCCGCGCAAGTTGGAGTGGGACATGGTACCCGAGCTCAGCATTGCCTTACGATTTGCAGAGTCGCACCTGTCTGATCTCCTTAAACAGCATGAGTTCCAAGTGCTGGACTTTACTGGATTTGGCAAGAATTTTATCACCTCCATGGGGTTCTCCCCCGATGCGTTTGTACAGATGGCGTTCCAGGCAGCATACTACGGGCTTTATGGGCGACTGGAGAATACCTACGAGCCAGCCATGACCAAATCCTTCCTGCACGGCCGAACAGAGGCCATTCGGACGGTTACCAGCGAATGTGCTGATTTTGTCACAACCTTCTGGGGGGAGAACCCGGCGGAGCAGAAGGTGAATGCGCTTCGGAAAGCAACAGAGAAACACACAGCCATTACGAAGGAATGCTCTAAGGGTCAGGGACAAGACCGACACCTCTACGCACTGTACTGTCTCTGGCAGCGATCCTTTGACGACGGGGCGTCGTCGGCCAGTAACAGTGTCTCAGAAGGCACCAATGGCTATACCAGCCCTGTAGATGGCGAGTCGATCTCATCGCCGAAATCTTCTGGCCCGATGTCAGAAGATGGGCTTTCGTCGACCGGCTACAGCATTCGTGGCGTGCGCACCATGCCGGCCATCTTCAGTGATGCTGGTTGGGACAAGATCAACACCACGGTGCTGTCGACTTCAAACTGCGGGAACCCGTGCTTACGCCATTTCGGATTCGGACCGACTTCCGCGGATGGCTTCGGAATTGGCTACATAATCAAGGATGACACGATCTCGTTCTGTGCCTCCTCAAAGCATCGCCAGACCCAACGATTGATGTACACACTGGAGTCTTATCTGCTCGAAATCCGGAAGCTGCTGCGTGCCATCAACCAGCGACCGGCGAGTCCGCGCACAAGCCGGGCCCGCGAGATGGAGATGATCGCCGAGCGGCTCCAGAGTGATCACCGCCGGGGCCGGATCGTCCGGAGCGACGCGAGCCATCGGGGAGCCGAGACGCCCACAACGGACAGCGGAGAAATAGAGGATGATGGCATGGGCGGATGTAAGTTCTTTCCTCCCTTGTGTTTTGAGTGATCAAAATAGGCAGTTGCTAACAGGAGACCTATCAGATGGGTTCTTCGATGCCGGGATGTTGCTTCATGCACTGAAGGGGATCAATGCAGACCGGGAGCGTGGCACGGACAAGCCGGAGAAACGGCGATTTGTCGGAAAGAAGCTGCGGCTGAATGACTATTGATTATGCCTTGTGCGCTTCTTCCTACATTTTTATTTACATTCTTAGTCGGTTAGCCGTGGATTGGTGTTGGGTGTATATCCTTATGTTATATTATATTTAGTTGATACCAATCCTATATCAATTACTGATACACTGAGGAGCAGAATTCTCTTTCATCTCGCTGTTTGTAAGTTAAGGTGACAATTGCAGCACATTGTTTTGTAAGCACTTTATCCAGGGGTTGAGTGTTTATGGATGATGTTTACTATGGCCAGAGCCGAGCTAGTATAGCAAGTAATCATGCCATACTGCATATCCTACTACTACTGAATCGGTACTCCGTATATCCGAGTACAATTCATTTCAGCCCGCAAATGACATAAACACTACTTCGTACGACCTTGGTACTTCCACCCCCCAGTGTATATCTACATATCTACAGAGTACTCATTTAACGTTGAGTTTCCATTTCTGCCCAACGCACGTTAAATGCATGCATGCAGCCAAGTTTGTATGTATTGTCGTTCGTCAGTCAGTCAGTCAGGGTCTGTGTGTTAGGATGGGTGGGTGGGGGGGGGGAGGGCAAGGTTTTAAGCCATGTTCAGAGGGAGGGGAGGATGATCGACTGCTCCTCCATTTGTGAAACGGTATTAATGGGTACTAGTGGTTAGCTAGTAATGTATGTATATTGTGTTGGAAAAGCTCAGGGGAGGTGGCGCTCCTTCGGGGGTTGGGGGTGAGTCAACGCAGTGGAAGTTCAAAGTGATGGATGCGGATTACTGCAGTCATCCCGTTTGGGAAGGAGGGCAGGGACGCGGCGCTGGCGGCGGCGGCGGCGCCGCGGGGGGCCTGGGGCCTCAGGCTGCTACTCGGGGGTTTGGTTCGGCCGGTTAGGTCAGGATTTCAGGTTCATTCCTTGATGGTGTTCTGATGGGTATGGGTTTATTGGTCCTGCTTATGTACTGTCTTCATGTATCGGGGCATTGTAGGTGTTGTGGTTAATCAGGTCGGATAAACAGGAGTTTGTCAGGTGTATACTCTGGAGGGATTGGGGGGATATGTTACATTATTGTGCTTATGGTGCAAGGTGCAGCGCAGCGGGTTGGTCATTGAGAGCTGCACGGATTCGCGGTGGAATGTTCTCTTGGCCTGTGGCTTTATCTTGCATATTACTGGAAAGTATAGTATCCTGGTAAGTGAGGTAAGATGGTCAGTTATCTTGAGATGTCATGCCTGTCAGTGTGTTGGTTAGGTTGGCTTGGGGGGAGGATCTCTAGTGTGTTGTTGGTGTTGTGTGGTTACTATGTTGTAGTTATACTCGGGTTCTAGATAGAGTGTCTAACTGGAATTTGAGAGTAGATTTGAAGAGAACCCGAGAAAGAGTGTGTGGTTCTAGCTCCAGCTATTACCCGATTGAAGGCAATCTACTCCATTGTTGGACCTCATAACACTGAGTTGGTTATTGCCTCTATCTACCTGGACTCCATGCAGGCACTATACTCCTATCTCTTCCAAACAGTGAGGGGTCCTAGCGGCTATCGCCGCCGATGCCTCGACGGCCGCCGCCTTATGCATGCATGCACTGATGCAGGTGTTTCCTCGGATGACCTCAGTGGCCAATGAGAAAATCTCAACCCCGTGCCATGTTGAGCTGGTCAATGGGTAAGTGGTTTTGCCATGCAGTCAGTTATTTTCGCCGAAATGAATATCGCCGAGCGGATCTGATTCATGGGTTAGATGCATATCATGAGTGCGTGGACATATAGACCCGACCACAGAATAACGACAGTATATGTACGGAGTACAAAGAGTTTCTGGAACGAAGAGAATATACTACAGAGTACTAACAAAGGGCCAGCAGAACCGCTTTACCCACCGGCTAAATGAAGCAGCGCTTCCCCCAATGGCGCTCAGGACTGGTGAGGTCATCCCGATCAGACCCTTCATTGATTTGTTACCACCGCCTAGGCATACGAACAACCAATGTATGTATGATGATCATGATGCTGATGATGCTGATAGCCGTCTTGGAATTGTCCTTGCCCAATGCCGAGGTTACCCGCCGGTCAGGTCGACATGATTTCCGGACTTTGTTCTTCAATTGCTGCGCGCACACGCCTTGCAGTGTACTTGTACAGTACGTAGTGTATGTACCTAGCAAGTTAAGTTACAGCGTGCTCATGTCTACCGCGTGGTGTCGTAGCCTGCGTCCCACCGCCTACCGTACGCCCGTTTCAGCTCACCCAGTCATGTGCCCCACGTGACTTCATGCAGCAAACCAGTCAAACCACTGCCTCAGATTTGCTGGAAACTACCTAATAACCAACAGCTTTGAGACTGACTGACTTTGTCCATGCTACGCACGACTACAATACACTGATGAGCAGAGACGGTCTCCCTTCAGTCCTCTGTCTTATGCGTCTGTTCTGTCTTTCATTTCTTCAATAATCAGTAAGTGAAGCAATCTCATTTCTACCTACCTACCATTTCTTGCACTTTCCGACACCGGACATCCCGTGCTGCGTGCTGCGCGCTGCGATCTGCTCGCGGCAAAGCAGTCAGGCAAAAGATATCTCCCCCTGCGACTGGCCACGCATACGGTACTTTACTGCTCCGAGTATCGCGTCGGTGCCTTAACCCGTTCTTGCTTTCAGGCGCTCAGGCTGCTCAGCTTTCTTACTCGTCCCATTCCATCATCGTCTTCCCAAAGAGACCCCCCCCCTCCCAAAAAAAAAAGGTCAGGCCATCGTGCTCTGGCCGGCTCCACTCATCGTCGTCCTCCTTCCACACCCCCTTCTTGATTGACCCTTCCGACCTGGGCGCTGCGTCTCTGGCATTGGCTCTGCTTGCCTGACCCCCCTGCCTTTTGCCTTTTTCCCTCCTGCTGGTTGCTAGTCTACACTTTGCTACGAGTAGTCTGGTAGTGGCTCCATTCCTCCTCGCGCTAGCTCAAACCCATTCCTCTCTTTCTGCACCGCTGCTGAACTAGCGCCATCGTTACTCCTGCTGCTTGGTCCTGCAATACACCCACGGCAAATCTGCTCCCTCCGTTCCCTGAGCCCTCATACTGGAGGAGGCGCCTGCGTTGCGTGCTGGTCTGCTGCTACAGCCTACCGCTGTCGATACCGATTTTCATCATCCTTCACTGTTCCACCCGGTCCCTATCTTTATCTGACTCCTTCCCGGTGTTTCTTGCGCTTCGCATGATCTCGGAATCTTTTGCAATTTGTCCCAACTGAGCTTGGATCATCCTAGCCGGGCACTTCATCTTCAATTCACTCTGCCTCCCATTCACCCATACTTTCCCCCGACTTACCTCTTCCATCTCTCACTATTATCAAACCACTCAAATAAACCTTCTTTTGGTGTTCTTTTGTCCAAAGCACTACCGTCGCGATATTAACCGGCTTCCGCAGTACAGCACCTGCTGAAAGTTACCTCCTCTACGTCACGCTTACTCCCCCGACCGCTGGGAATCCCTATCCTGCCGTCGATCAGCGGTCGCTTCTTCCGACGACGGCACCCCAATCGATCTCTCCGACCAATTCCCCCCCCTTTCGTTTCTCTCATCTTGAGATGATGGCGGCAGCGCTTGATCAACCCCTCTTCGAGTCGATCGCGGGCGGTCCGGCGACCCATGCGGCTTCAATCACTCCGCCGCAAAGCGCCAACGGCAAGAAGGAGGCCCCCGAGGGCGTGCCTTCGGAGCTATCGGACCTTGAACTCGACCACAATGTCCCCGGTGCTCAGGAGGAGATACCCTCGGTGGAAGCCGACGACGAAGTGATTGAGCCAGATCACTACTATGGTGGTGGCAAGGTTCCCGTCTTCAAGCCGGTGAGTCGCCTGGTCTCCCGCTGACGGAGTCCGATCGTCTAGCTTCTGCATCGGACGCTTGGGCTAACTGGAAACTTGCTAGACCATGGATCAGTTCCGGGACTTTCAGTCGTTCATCAACAAAGTCGAGGAGTATGGCATGCGATCGGGTATTATCAAGATCATCCCCCCGAAGGAGTGGTAAGTGTGTCTCCAGTCAATCCTACGAAAAGTAGCGCTCATCGGTCGTCTCAAAAGGTCCGATGCCCTTCCGCCGCTCGACGAAGCCGTGAAGAAGATTCGCGTGAAGAATCCGATCATGCAGGAGTTCCACGGTTCGCACGGGACATACACACAGGCCAACATCGAGAGACAGCGATCATACAATCTGCCCCAGTGGAAAGGATTGTGTGAAGAAAGCAGTCACCAGCCTCCCGCACGCAGAGGTGAGCGACGCCGGAATCAGGAGCGGGTGAATCGCGCCCATCCTGCGCCTCGAAACCAGACGCCTCGAGCAGACTCGCAAAAACGTCGTCCAGGTCCGGGCCGCCCGCCCAAACGGTCCAACCAGGTTAAGGTCAAGGAGGAGCCTCCTGCCGAGGAAGGCCTCGACAAGATCAAGCCGGAAGGTCCTCCGACCCCTGTCTCCCCGGAATCAAATCCAGTGGAGACGAAGACGGAGGAGTTGAGCGACGGTGAATCCCTACCCGGCCCGAAGCCCAAGGGTCGGCAGCCCAAGTCAGTTACTGCGCGCCGAAAACACAACAAGGGCGGTGATGCAGTCGACTACGTGGACGAGGAGGCCTTTAAAGACTTCGATTATCGCATTCATGATAGCGAAGAGTACACGGCAGAACGATGCGAGGAGCTAGAAACCGCTTACTGGAAGTCCTTGATGTTCAACAATCCGCTGTACGGCGCTGATATGCCTGGCTCCCTCTTCGATGACAATATCACGACTTCGTGGAACGTCGCCCGGTTACCGAATTTGTTGGACGTGCTCGGGCAGAAAGTGCCGGGTGTTAATACTGCATATCTCTATCTGGGTATGTGGAAAGCGACTTTCGCCTGGCACCTGGAGGACATGGATCTGTACAGCATCAACTATATCCATTTCGGAGCTCCGAAGCAATGGTACAGCATTTCTCAGGAGGATGCTCCTCGGTTCGAACAGGCCATGAAGAGTAAGATAACAAGCCAACTACGGTGGCCTTCCAGTGCTAATTCTAGATCAAGGTATATGGCAGAGTGATGCCAAGAGCTGCGACCAATTCCTCCGCCACAAAACTTACCTTGTCTCGCCTAGTCTATTAAAGTCACAGTATGGCATCACAGTCAACAGACTGGTGCATTACGAGGGCGAATTCGTCATCACTTATCCATATGGCTACCACTCTGGCTACAATTTGGGTTACAACTGTGCCGAATCCGTTAATTTCGCCACGGAAAAGTGGTTGGACTATGGACGGGTGGCCAAGAAGTGCCACTGCGAAGCTGACAGTGTCTGGATTGATGTTGACGAGATCGAACGAAAGCTTCGCGGGGAGGCAACTCCTGAATATTATGGAGAATACGACAGTGACCTGGATGCGATGGAAGGCGTGTCGGATCTACTGACACCGCCTCGCAGTGTTCCCGAGAAGACATCTACTCGGGGGCGCAAGCGGAAGCAGGACGGCGAAACCACCAAGGCAAAACGTATACGTATGAGTATGGATGTTCCGCGGAAAATCCCCTGCGTTTTGTGTCCCAACAATCTTGACTACGAAGATCTCTTACCAACCGAGGATGGCAAGGCACACGCCCATCGGCGTTGTGCTCTGTATACAGAGGAGACAACGATTCTTCGGGACGAGAGTGGACGGGAGGTGGTGTGCGATGTGGATAAAGTCCCCAAGGCTCGCATGGGCCTCAAGTGCCTTTTTTGCCGCGAGGTGCGCGGTGCTTGCTTCCAATGCAATTTCGGCAAATGTACCCGTTCCTACCATGCCACTTGTGCGCTTCTGGCTGGTGTGCAAGTGGAGGAAGGTGTGATCGCCGTGATCGCCGACGATGGCGAGCAGTATTCGATCCCTAGCGTGGACCTTAAATGCAAGTACCACCGCCAAAAGAAACCGTCGTGGATGGGCAACGGCGACTCGCTCGATTACGACCGCAAACTCATGCAAACCGCACGGCGTTTGGTGGCTGGGGAGCTAGTGCAGTTCCAGGCGGACAAGGAAATCAATGGGGCGGTGGTGCTTGAGAACCGACCTGAGGAACGAATGTTGCTGGTCAAGGTGCTTCCTAGAGGGTAAGACAGCATCCTTCTCTCTTTCCCCCGCTTGTTTGGAAACTACCCGATTGGTGATATCACGACGATGATGCAGTGATGGGAATGTCTGACGGACTGTTTGATTGATTGACTGACTGACTGATGTGACCGACGCACAGGGACGTAATTGAATTACCATACCGCTGGATGCTCGTGGTTCGACGGAGTAATTTCTCACCGCTGGCACCAGGAACCAAGCCTCTTCCTGCCCACTTGGCTCGGAAGCCCGAGAGCCGGAAAGAGTTGGAGTCAGCCGTGCCGGTGGCAGGAAATCCGTTTGGCGATGGAGACTCCCCGTATCAGTGGGCCGAATTCGAGACGGTGGACAGCACTAGTTACCACATTGCCCCACCATCGGCGCCCATCAACCTCATGCAGGGCGAGAAGATCTGGTATTATCTGGGCGAATCGTCCACTGAATGTAGGGCTCAGTATACGCACAACCCTACTGTGCCTGTCCACAACCAGCGGGCGAATTTCCTGGACAGCGTTAAGTCCCTTGGCGCTGTGATGGCCCGGGTCCCCTCTTACCAACCCCACCATCGTCTCCCTGCCACGACTCCGTATGCCCCTCACTTTGCTGGCGTTCCTCCTCACCACCAACACCTTCTGTCGCTTCCCACCGCCTCTGCTATCGGTGCTGCTGCTGTTGCTGCTGCTCCTGCCGCTGCCGCCAACACTACGCATACTCACACTACCGCTGCCGCAGCTGCCGCCGCCGTCACTGCTGCTGCTGCTCCCCGCCCTTCATTGCTGCAGCATTCTTCTCTTGCCCCTCCACGCCCTGCGCTTTCTGCTGCTGCTGCTGCTCCTCCTCCGCCTCCTGCTGCGATGCCGTCTGCTTACCGTACCCTGCCAACGCAATCTGCCCGTCATGCCCCGTACCCGCACGTCACCAAGTCGCATTTGCAGCCTCATGCTCGTCAACACTCCCAGACTCATCCCACCCATCATTATCCGCCGTCCCATTTAGTACAACAGCAGCAGCAGCAGAACAATCACCACCACCACCTTCCCGCAAACAATTTTGCCAATGTTCGGGAGCTAATCGCTCGCCGTCGCCTGGCTCAGATTACCGACCATGCCAATGTTTTCGCCGGATACATCATTGTCAGCCCCGAGCTGGTTGTTGACACGCTCCTGGGTCCGATGGGATCTGTCCCACCGCCCAATGGCCTAGAGAAGTTGGAACTAGCTATGGCTCAGCAGCGGGTACAACCCCGGGCGCCTGATGGCTCTCTTCTCTCGCTACAACCCCTGAACATGCGATCAGAAGAGGTGACTCGGCTGTTGCAGATGCTCCGCTTCTCGCTGGTGAGTCATCGGGACCGGCTTGACGTGCTGCAAAAGAAGGAACCGGAACCCATCAAGCAAGAGGCGGTGAACGGCAGCGGCTTGGCGCTCTCGAAAGTGCCACGCACCTACGCTTATCTCGAGCAACAGCGTGAGCAGGTCCCGACCGTCTACCAGTCTCCCTACGACATGCCGTCTGGCTTCACGGAATATGCCCAGAAGACCTTTGGCCTCACCCGCGTTGAACCTGAACTTCCCCGGCCTTCTCTCGCCAACGATTTCTTCGCCAGCCTCTCTCCTGCCGACCAAGAGAAGATCCTTAAGACATGTGGGAGTTTCGTGCAACGGGCCATCGAACGGTCGGCCAGCCATAGTCGTCAAAGTTCAGCTTCCAACCTCCGCCTGGCAACAGCCCTAGCTCGGCAAACGGAGAACCCAACCATAGATATCACGACGGTGGAGGACATGCCGTTCCCCAACTTGGACCTGCCGTTGCACGCCGACTCTCCCTGCTCGAACTTCAGCCGGTCGCATCTGCGATTCCAGTCCCCGAACGATTTTGCTCATCACGCCCCGGAAAACCATCATGACCACCATGATCTCTTTGGCGATCAACAGGCGAATACGAGGTTTTGGCAACATGGGCCGTGGGCCGCTGGCGATGGGAACACTCCGAACGAGGAGAGTCGACCGTTCTTTGGGCCCCATGAACGACTCAAGCATGATTATGCGTCGTCCGACATCTCTCTGGGTCGCGGAGGTCCGGGTTCCTTGCACTCAGTCGATATGGCTGGGTTCGGCATGGACGGGACGGAAGATATTGGCGCGGTGCTCAGCCCCTAACCACGGAGCAGCCTATCCACCACTCGATTGATATGCCTGCGATGACATTTGCATCCTCACCTTTCCCCTCACATTATCACCATGTAACGACTTATCTGGATTGACGACTGCATGACTGGGCGTTTGCGATTATTTTTGTGCCTCTTTTCTTCATCCGGACGATGATCATTCACAATCGGATCGGCCCTAGCTGGCTAGTGGTCTCTCCAATTGGGGCCTTGTTTCGATGAGGCTTTTGATTGTCTCCTCTACTTTCTTCTCTCAGGGTCTGAGGGGTGGTTGCCAAAATCTGACCCTTTTAAGGATCCGATCGACCAAAGGATCAAATGGCGGTGGGCGTGATGTTAGGCCAGGTGGCCATCCGCCTAATGTGAGGCGTCTCGATGATCGGACTGACTCTTCCCACTGTCCACTCGGCGGATTTGGCCTCGATTGCTCTTTCCCTGTTCTTTTTCAATTCTTTTATTTTCCAGCACGTTTCACCTTTGTCCCCCTATCACCAACACCTGGAGTCTCTTTTCATCCGAGCGATGGGAGAGCTATTGGAGCCTACTGCCGCTTCAGTAAGACAGGTCTATCCATACACTAGAGACATCCCCCACCCTGCACCATCTTTCCAAAAACCACTCGAAAAAAAGCACCATTTCCCATATTCGATGAACAGAAAATGCCTCGAGCAGAGGCGAATTAAGTGTCTCTAATAGTGAGCCCCGTGTTTGATACCCCCTTATGCCCCCTCCCCCTCCTCCCCCTCCCCCCTATCCCCGGTTCTTATTCTTGTTTCGGTCCGTCGCTCTTTATCCCCTCCTCCACTGGACCTCTCTTTCAGGATCACTTTGGCGCTCATCTCACGGCCGAACCCGCGTGGGTGCGTGCCGTCAAGCGATGTGGCAGCCGTCACTGGAATAGTGACAATTCACTGTGCTGTATGTACCTAGCAAATGAATAGCCGTGAATCACCGATTAGTTAGAGATCTAAGTGTGCCTGTCTGGTGTTGATGTAGTTTTTTGTTTTTTTTGTAGTTCCTTGTAATACGTTGTAAGTTGGTGTAGTCGTTGGGTCAGGCAGCGACGGGCCCTAAACTGGAACGTCAGGAAGTAAGCTGGAATTACCCCGCGGGGAGCCAGACTGGGCAGCGCCATGGTTGAGGAGGTGGAGGAGGAGGCCGAGGAGATGGTGGCTCTACCAACACGAGGTGTTCGTCCCTCTCCACCCGTCATGCATGAGTGCCAGCCGGAGTTGCCATCCGCGCGTGAATTCTCCTTCAAATCGATCGCGTGGCTGTTCTAATATGTGTTTCAGGAGCATGTGTGCAGGGAGAAGAAGAAAAGGGAGAACCCCGATAAGAGGTGGATTGACTGTATCGATGAGACAGATAAGCGTAGGGATGCATTTCATTGCCAGAACTAATGGGCTTGTCTGATCATTGATTATTGACTTATCGTTCTTTCTTGGATTGTAGGTGTGCTTATCAGCGCGGTCTCGGACCGCGCCCCTTTTAGGGCGTCTAGCCCGACACCGGAGTCTGTTAGTGAAGGAGTTTATCGAGCCTGCTCAGCGGTGATTGGTAGAGTCTCTCTGCCTCCCCGGTTCGACGATGGGTCCTTTTCATGTGCAAGTCTGGAGAGAGTGGGAAGAAATGCTGAGTGGTGAACGAAGGCAACGTACAGGATGACCTGGTCCTGGGTGACGTGCGGGGGAATTAAGCATTCCATTCATTAACTTAATGAGTCCGGAGTACTTACTGACCTCATTGCACTGTTGCTGGGAATATTCCTATCACTACCTTATTTCACCATTACCACTTCCACTTCCACTTCCACTCCCACCTCTATTTCCTGTTTTACTCGCTCTATTCATCATTCATCCCATCGTCCCCATTTATACACTCCCTCCTTTCGCCCTCTCACCTTCCTTCTTTCCTCGCGGGGTATCCTGGTCGCATTCGCTACGCTCCTCTTCTTTCCTACTCTACCTAAGTCATCACTCTACCTGACCTGCGATGACAACCTCCCAATAAAAGCTTCCCTCTCGACTCCCATCCATCCGTTCTTCCATCCATCAATATGCGTCAAGCCTCTGTGGATGCCAACGCCGATGAGGCGTTGGCTCGCATGGGGTACAAGAGCGAATTGCCGCGAAATTTGAGCATGCTCAGTATTCTCGGGCTGTATGTTAACCGTAGACTGGACTGCGATTGGAAATCTTGACTGATGAGAGAAACCAGGTCCTTTGCAATCATGGCCGCGCCCTTCGGTCTCAGCACCACCCTCTACATCACCCTCGCCGATGGCCAGTCGGTGACCATCATCTGGGGCTGGGTCCTCGTCACACTCATCTCCATCGCCATCGCCGCATCGCTTGCCGAAATCTGCGCCGTCTACCCTACCGCTGGAGGTGTATACTACTGGAGTGCCATGCTACCGACCCGACGATGGGCCCCGATGTTGTCCTTCATCGACGGCTGGCTGACGCTGGTGGGCAACTGGACCGTCACCCTCAGCATCACCTTCTCCGGTGGTCAGCTGATCCTGAGCGCCATCTCCCTGTGGAATGAGGACTTTGTGGCCAACGCGTGGCAGACGATCCTCACCTTCTGGGCGGTCATTCTTGTCTGCGCACTGGTCAATATCTTCTTCTCCAAGTACCTGGATTTGATCAACAAAGTGTGCATCTATTGGACTGCGGCTAGCGTGATTATCATATTGGTTACCCTCTTGACGATGGCGGATCATCGTCGCGATGCTGAGTTTGTGTTTGCGCACTACGACTCTTCGCAGAGTGGCTGGTGAGTTTCCTCGTCGGCGTGGACGGGTTCGTATTGCAGCTGACAGATGAATAGGCCGTCCGGCTGGGCGTTCTTCGTGGGACTCTTGCAAGCCGCGTATACGCTGACAGGGTACGGCATGGTGGCTTCAATGTGCGAGGAGGTGCAGAACCCGCACCGCGAGGTGCCCAAGGCCATTGTCCTGTCGGTGGCGGCGGCCGGCATCACCGGCCTGGTGTATCTGATTCCGATCCTGTTCGTGCTCCCCTCGGTGCAATCGCTCCTCGACGTCGCCAGCGGACAACCGATCGGGCTGATCTTCAAGACGGCAACGGGCTCCGCCGGCGGCGGCTTCGGTCTGCTGTTCCTGATCCTGGGGATCTTGATGTTCGCCGGCATTGGCGCCCTGACGGCCGCCAGCCGCTGCACGTACGCCTTTGCACGCGACGGGGCGATCCCCGGCTTCCGACTCTGGCGCCGGGTCAACGAGCGTCTGGACGTGCCCGTATGGGCGATCGTGTTGTCGACCGCGGTGGACTGTCTCCTGGGGTTGATCTACTTTGGCTCCAGCGCGGCGTTCAACTCGTTCACGGGCGTCGCCACGATCTGCCTGTCCACGTCCTACGGGCTGCCGATCCTGATCCTCATGTGCCGGGGTCGTCGCGCGGTGCGCGAGTCGAGCTTCTCGCTGGGTCGGTTCGGGTACGCGATCAACGGACTGGCCGTGTGCTGGATCGTGCTGGCGGTGGTGCTGTTCTGCATGCCCGTGTCGCTGCCGGTCGATGCCAGCAGCATGAACTACGCCAGCGTGGTGTTTGCCGGGTTCGCGGCCATCAGTATCGGCTGGTACGTGGTGTATGCCCGCAAGCATTTCACGGGGCCGCCGGTGGCGGAGGAAGTGGATGGGATGCCGGGGGTGATGACGGGGAAACCGGTGGATCCGGAGAATGTCCTGTCGGAGGGGGAGAAGGGGCGGCGAAGTAGCTCAGCGAAGAATTGATTCAGCTGTTTCTTTTTGATACAGTGGTTACCTTTTGTACATATTGATTCTGTGGTCTGGTATGATATTTGGTTTTGTGAATGATGTATGAATGTATGTGTACGTATGAATGTATGTGTACGTATGAATGTATATATGAGTATGCCTGACTGGCAGTTCACTGGTAGAGGTAGCAATTACGATGATTTCCCCTTCTTGATCCAATAATCTGTAGAATCGAGGGATTGAGATAGATGTACATCATAGAAAGCGTCTAGCATCACAGCTGGCAAAGGGTGGCATAGAAGAAGTGGGTGGGGAGTGAGGGCGTTGAACCCACAGAATCACGGGCGGGACCTCCGAGGCCGAACAGCCGCGGTTGAGCCGAATCCGTCAATCAGTCCATTCCAATCCAGCATCAACCGAGTTAAACCTCCAACAACACTAGTTATCGGCCTGACTGACCCTGCATGCTGCAGCCTCCAACTCCCTCCTCCATTCCCTCTCACATCTGGTTCTCCATTTCCTCCCACCAATTCCCAGTCGAGTCCAGATTTCATTCGACCTTTTCCCCTCCCATTCGTGACGCGCATATCTAATCGATCTATCTGTCTCTGCCTTCGGCCTCCGAAATCCGGGGAAGCTTTCCCTTGCAATTCCACTCGCGCGACCAGACCACTCTCTCCCCTCGCGGCTTCTCTTTCCCCCCAGCCCAGAGGAAATAGCACAACAACCAAATACCCTCGAGGACATTTGCTCTGAATCGGACTGTCTCGCGGAAGCCCCCCCATCCATGCGGTACCCCCTTGCTACGACCACCGCGCCCACGACGACCGACTCCGCCTTCGCCTCCGCCTCCGCCTCCGCATCCACCACCACCACTGCTCTCATGAAGCCACCCTCGACCAGACTACAATCGGGTTCCAGTTCGTTGTTGCCGTTGCTGTTGCGCGTTGAATCATGTCGGACTCAGTGGGTGCGTTCGTCCCCCAAAGCCTACCACATTCCTTTTTCTCTGTTTGTCTGTCTTGTGGTTCCGTTATTCCTTCATTCCCTCGGAAGCTTGGATGCCGTCTCGCCCACCGACATGATCTGAGGTCGGAGAGATTTCTCTTGCGCGGAATACATATTTCAGGACCACCACCGATGCATCGCAGAAGCTGATTTACTATTATGAGCGGAAATTAGACCGCGTCTTCGTCCACGCCCTCAACACAGTCAAACGGATTCCGCGGACGGGGACGGCGCGTCCGCCCGCCTCGGAGCGCTTGAAGTTGTATGGCTTGTATAAGCAGAGTATGGGTATGTTTCTTTTCTTATCCCTTCCGGACAGCTACGTGGTGGGACTGAAGCTAATCTTTATGGCTATGTTCTTTAGAAGGTGACGTCGAAGGTGTCATGGATCGACCGGTGGGGAATACCCCGGATGTGTTTATGGAGTGTGAGAAGTGGTAGGTTGATTCTTCGCCGTTGTTTTCCTTGGGCAATTGGTTGTTCGCATTTTAGGGGGGGCAGGGGGGCAGGGGGCTTGGGAATGCGTTTTGGGGTGGATGGATCGAGGTTTCTTTGGCTAGGGTTTTCTGGCGACTTGCTTGCTAATGCTGATTCGATATGGGGTAGGGATACGTGGTACGCCCAGCGCGGTCTCTCCCGCACCGAAGCCAAATGCCGGTACATCTCCACGCTGATCGAGACGATGCATCAGTATGCGTCGCAGACGGCCGAGGCCCGCGAGCTGGTCGCCGAGTTGGAGTTCGTCTGGGATCAGATCAAGTCGAATACCGCTTCGTTGGAGTCGTCGGAGTCCGGGTCGGAGGAGCTTCTGAGGAGCCAGGGGTTGGCCGATTTCAGGTCGCATCGTGGGTCGGCGGGGGAGAGTGGTGGTGGTGGTGGTGGTGGTGGTGGTGCTGCTTCTTCGGCGTCGGGGCGACGCTTGTCGCGCGAGGAGTATGCGCGGTGGCTTCTTGCTACGTCGATAAGGGAGGGCGAAACGGCGGCGGCGGCCTCGTCTCGACATGATGGGCGCGGACGTATTCGCGAGGAGGGCTCGGGGCTGAGGGTGATGAGTCCCGTGAGTCAGCCGAGTCAGCCGGGGGCGTATGCTCGGTCGCGTTCCAAGGGATATGGCGATGATGAGGTAGATCACGATGATGTGGATGAGGAGGAGGAGGATGAGGAAGAGGTGTACGCGGAGGCTCAGGATAATCTCTATGAAGACGACGATGATGACGACGACGACGACGACGCGGAGGCGAACGACTACCGACCACAACCCCATCCTCACGAAGCAGTAGAACCCCCCGATCCCCCGTCCAGAGGGAGACCACGCCGGCCGCCGCCCCCTCCCACACCGGCATCCTGGCGTCGCCGCGTCGAGCAGGCCTTGACGACGATGACGGCCGAGATCGCCGCCGTGCGCGAGCAGATGGAGGCGCGCGCGCGGGCCCAGCGCCGCCGCTCGGGCGTCTGGGCCTGGGTCCGCTGGTTCCTGTGGGTGTGTTTCCGGCAGGTGATGGTGGATCTGGCCATCCTAGGGGTCCTGTGGGTGTGGATGCGCCTCCGCGGGGACCGGCGGCTGGAAGTCGTGCTCAAGGTTGGGTGGGCGGAGGTGAAGAGTCGATTGGGGAGGACGAGGCTCTGGCGGAGGAAGAGGATCCCTCGAGGTGATTCTTGATTTCTGGGCCCATCCTCCCTCTCCCTCTTTCGCCCTTGTTAGATGCTGGGTTCTCTGTGGTCTCCTATGTTCTCGTATATATTATACACTTCATTTTTTTTCTGTTGAGCATGTATCCATGCGTGGACATCTTGATGATGAACATGCTTTTTTTTATGTCTTGCTGGTTCATTCTCCATCGAGATTTCCTTTTGTCATCCGTGTCGGTGTACTGTACACTAAACCACAATGTTATCATGTAACATCTAGACAGGATCACCACGCCCCCTCCCGCCCGGATTACACACAGACCAAAAAAGAGAGGGATCATCTTCTGATACCAAATGAATATTCCTGATGCTAATATATACACACACACACACATACACACACGAGAGCCATTTCGATCAGAAATCATGGGCGAAACACCTCGAACAAAGACCAAAGAAAACTGGGGAAAACAAGACCGCACGGCCATAAAAAGGAAATCAGACGTCGAACCCCACCACTTAGTTCTTGTCCAGGATGGGTGTCCCATCCTCGTTCGCTTGCCACTGCCGGCCGGGATAGCGGGAGAAGATTTGTTGTGGGCGCAGGTGCACGGGGGTTTGATCTTCGGGGGCACCGGGGATGGTCTTCTTGAGGCCCTGTTTTGTCGCTCGTTAGTACCGGTTCGTTACCCACCCCGTGGGATTTGAGGGCTTGGAGGAACAAGAAACAAGGACAAGCAGAAGCGTCAAGGAGGGGAAGGGGGAAACGAACCAACTTGTCGAACACGCAGGCGTTCAGGTTCACCTCGGCCTTACGGCAATCGAAGAGACGGTGGTTGTTCTGCTCGAGACACTCCCAATGGGCGGTGAATTGCTTGAGGCAGTGGGTGTTGATATCCTTGATCCTGTTTCCGGCCGCGTTAGTTATGGCTATTATTTCCTTTGCTTTTGCTGCTCCAGAAAGAGGGGACCAATTGAGCCGTATGTATTCGCTCGCTTCTCCCAAACACAAAAACAAGCAAGCTCAATTGAGAAGAGAGAAAGGGTCCACCGTACACACTCGCGGCGCAGCGCGTCACCTTCCGCCCTTCCTTCAGACACTCCAGCTCGCCCCGGCCGTTGGCCTCGGCCTTGCACTTCATGAAGTCGTCGTTGTAGGCCCGGCACCGGTCGCCGATGAAGTAGGCGGCGCTGAACAGCGGGGCGGACGTCGCGCCGATCTCCTCCACCTTGGGGATGTGGTCGGGCATCGGCGTGGTGTCGACCAGCACCTGTTGGGAGAATCTGCCATGTTTTTGGTTCTTAGCTTCGGCCCATGACTCTCAGAGATTGGAAGGAGTGGAAGGGGTGTTTGGGGGGTTCAATTGTGGGCATTGGTGGTTGCGAGGGTGGGTATATGTAGGTGTTGGTGGGTTTGGGGATTATGGAGGTATTCGGATGTAGAGAGACAAGGCGGCTGCAGTAGTCGTTGGTAGAGGCGGAAAAGAGGGGGGATGCATACCTGGACTCGCGGCGGGCCATGGTGACGGTTGTTTCGGTGGTGGTTCCGGAGAGAGTAGCTCAATAGCAATTGGGGAGGGTGGGAGGCAATTCCGGAGGAAGAGGAGAGGAGGAGGGCGGTTTTGGTGCGGGCAGTACAAGGTCGACGACGATGAGTTGAAGCTGCGGCGGAGAGGTTTGGGAGGTCGGTTTTTGCTGAGTGTTGATTGGTTGCGGGAGGCTGGATTAGGTAATGCAGATATTGAGCGCCTAAGGCAGGACTGAGGTGCGGGCATCGTGGCCTTAGATCGCTTTGGTGCCTCAGGCACTAACAGATCCCGGCGTGAGCTTACTGCACGTGACCTGCGAAAAACAAAGCGGTTGCCCCGAACAAAAGCGCTTCGAGTCGCAGCTCTCCGCATCGCCCGTTGCTGTTCGTGATTGTTTCGGTCTCGAGGTTTGCTGTGCTGGTCCTGGTCTCTTCTTGAGATTGTTGTTTCACAGGACACTAGTCTGGCTCAAGGGTCTTGCAGCTGTCAATTCGTCAATCGCTGAGCTGTCCCATTGCTTTTCTGCTTGAATACCAGCTCGGAGCTTAGATTCACTCTCCTCAACTTCACCTCAACCGGCCGAGACCCCTTCCTCTCCCAAACGCAACCACACATCATGTCCCTCTTCGGTCAAACACCTTTTCAACCTTCGGGTGGGAATTCACTCTTCGGTAACCCCAGCACGGACTCGAAACCCAACCCCTTCGGCGCCAATGCTCAACAAGGCCCCGGCGGCGGTATGTTTGGCAACGCAGGAACTGGCGCTGCTACGACAGGGACCGGCGGTGGTCTCTTTGGACAAAACACAGCAGCCGGTACCCAGCAACAATCGAATACGGGCGGCTTGTTCGGCGCCACGAACACCAACGCGCAGTCATCGACCACAGGCGGCGGCCTCTTTGGCAACACAAATGCAACCCAGCAAAAACCTGCCTTCGGCGCATTGCCCCAACAACCCCAGACGCAGCCCGCGCCAGGACTAGGAGGCGGAGGTCTGTTCGGAGGATTGGGTCAGAAGCCTCAGGGCACCGGTCTCTTTGGCCAGCAGGCGCAACCGCAGCAGCAGCAACAGCAGTCAGGGTTGTTCGGTGGCTCTCTACTGGGTCAACAACAGCAGCAGGTACCAGGATTGCCGGCAGGACAGATGGGGTCGACATTGCAATTCGGACAGTCCAATGCACAGCAGCAATCGCAATTGGGGTCGAGTCTTTGGGAGCCCGGACGGGCCGTTACGGGAGGTTGGTGCTGCATCTCGATTATGATATCTTTCAAAATGTACTAACTATCTTTTCCACCTTCGCACAAGTCCACCGCACCGTTCCCATGCAGATTCAAATTGTCAAGGATAAATGGGACCCCAACAACCGCGCGTCCCCGTTCCGCACCTACCTGTACAACAACGTCGGCGAAGACGCGGCGCCCTTCTACCAGCCGGGACATGGAGATGACGAGGCAAAATGGGAGGATGCGCTCCGCAAGCGACCCGAACCGGGCTATGTGCCGGTCCTGGTGCAGGGATTCTTTGATCTCGGCAAGCGCGCGCAGCGCCAGAAGGACTTCCTCACCATGCTGCAGACCCGGATGCACGAGATCAACAACTGCCTGACCGAGCTCCTGTCGCGACATGACCTCAAGATCAGCGTGCGCATCGCCGACTGTCGGCGGAAACACCTCGTTCTCAGCAAGCGGTGCCTGACGCTGGCGGCCAAGACCCAGGTGCTGCGCAACCGCGGCTACGCGATGGACGATGCCGAGGAGGAGCTGCGGAAGAAGCTGACGCAGCTGGAGCGGTCGGTCTTCGACCCGTCGATAAACGGCCGCGGGGAGGAGATCTGGGCGCGCATGCTGGCCATCCGGGAGCATTCGCGGCGGTTGCAGCAGGAGATGGAGCGGGCGGGACCCAAGGCCACAGCCCAGGCGGAGGATGAGTTGGATGAGCAGACATTGAAGACGGCGAAGAAGGTAAGCAGGCGCCTTCCCCGTCAAACCGGATGAAGTTTCCATTGCTAACAAATGGTGCGGTAGATATTGGACGATTACCACGTGCAGATCCAGCACCTACAGAAGGAGCTGGAGTCGGTGAAGAAGGATTTCGAAGAGTCGCAGAAGCTCCCCGGCGGCGGGGCTCATTTAATGTAGTGTTTATCATTCTCATGCCTTTCTCATTTGAGTTCAATCTATTACGAATCGGGGTGTGCTTTCTACTTACTGCTTTCTTTGTTGGGTTTGATCGGGGAAGGAAAGCAATTGACCGGAGTTTTCGAGGAGCTGGTATCCGCAACATCACCCGCGCGCATTCGCGCCAGGGATCCTTTCTTACTTATCGTGAAGCGCAGACTCAAGACGAGGTAGAAACATACGCAAGATATTCTCTTTCTAGGTGGAAATAAAAAAAACCGGGGCTCCCTCCAATGGATCTAGTATACATCAAAAAATGGGTTTCATGTCCACCACTGCCCTTGTATCCAGTACCGCAGTCTTCTACTCCGGTAGGAGGATATTCGGGTTCAACGAGCCGGATGGATGATCATCGAACGGATGCTGCACGATTTACAGGAACTTCTTGACGAACTCGACGGCGAAGGGAGCTGCAGTAGCGAGATCTCACGGTTAGCTTTGGATGGATCGGTCGGAAAGAGACACGGCGAGAGAGCGGGAAACATCATACAGAGGTAGAGGAGGACACCGCCGGTGATGGCCATGCGGACGGTCTGGTTGGCCTGGGCCTCACCAGCCTGTTGTTGGTTGTTAGATCTGCTGTTCATCCTTTGGACCGGGGGGCCTGTGTAGCAAGGTCATGGCCCTGGGCATGCATAGATCATAGCGGTCGTCGGGCAATGAGAAATACCTTGATGTCCTCTCTGGAGAGCTGTTCCTGACCTGAAAGGATGCGGTGTTAGTGAATGCTCTAATTGCTCAAAAGAAGGGGTAAGACCTACCGGGAGCGAACATTGTGAGAGATGATGTGTATGAAAAGTGAGAGAAAAAGTGGATTGAAGAGTTGTATACTGGCAGATGGAAGGCTAGTTTCTTAAGTGTATGTCTCTATCAGCTTGACCACCCCGAAGGAAAAGAGATTCTGCCGAGCACGGACCACCTGCGGAGGCGGAACGGATTCCTCCAGCCCATCCTTTACTTGCCTTTGCGGCGCCAGTCTCTTTTCTTGGAGTTCCATCCATTTCGTTTCCTCCTTCAATTGTCATCTGTCTGTCATTTTCCGGAACTATCTATTGGATTACTCACAAGGGGGAAAAGCTTGAGTCAGGAGAGAGTTCTTTCTTTCTTTACGATACTTGTGTCAGGCTTGAGACTACCACCACCACCACCACCATCAACTCCTCCTCCACCAACAACTACACCAGACATCTACATCTCCCTGAAACCAGCAACCAACACAACACCGCCTATCCAGTCCCCAGGACACCCCCAATCACACAAACACACAACCACAGACTCTGTCAAGATGTCCGCACCCAACAGCCCCGAACAACAACGAGCCGTCTCCCCGGCCGTCGAAGATGAACCCGCCCGTGCCCCGACCCCGGACGCCGGCGCCGGCGCCGACAACAACGCCGAAGAAAGCGACCACCAACCCCGACCCCAAGACCAAGAGAATGCTGCGGCCTCGGAGCCCGAAGACGACGAAGATGACGATGACAAAGCTCACGACTCGGACGACGAGTCGATCCTGTCCGAGGTGGACGAGGCGCAGTTCGAGGACTTCGACCCGGAGAACGTCGACATCGAGGACCGCCCGCAGCTGGCCATCGACGAGGACAATCTGAAGCTGATCGGACGGCACAAGCGCAAGCGCACGGAGGGGGCCGAGGGGGAGCAGTCGAAGCGGAAGCGCGAGGGCCGGCGCGAGAAGAAGAGCCGTCGGATGCGCGAGCTGGAGGAAGGCGGCGGGGCCAGCGACGAGGAAGGCGGCGCGGGCAAGGCCGGGCGGAGACGGACGGGCGCGTCGAAGAAGAAGGAGGTGTTGCCGGAGGATGATGAGACCTTGGATCCTGCTACGCGTGAGTTGTGGTCCCCGTGGGAAGAAAAAGGAGAATGTTGGGGGAATGCTAATCTTGATTGGGGTTTGACAGGACGGAGGAGAGCGCTCGATCGTGCTATGGATGAAGCGTTGAAGAAGCCGACGAAGAGACGGTTCCGGAAGGCGGATGGCATTGTATGTTTTTTTACCCCTGGATGTTCTACGCTGTCTTTTATGAAAGGGGAAGGGCGCTCTCAACTAATGATTTACGGGGTTAGGATTTGGAACAAATGGCCGATGCTGAGATTGAAGATATGCGCAAACGCATGACCCACGCCGCACAGATGGATGCCATCAACCGCCGCGAAGGCAAGCCCGCCATGCACAAACTCAAGATGCTCCCGGAGGTCGTCTCGCTGCTGAACCGCAACCAATACGTCAACAGTCTGGTCGATCCGGAAATCAACCTGCTCGAGGCCGTCAAGTTCTTCCTGGAGCCGCTGGACGACGGCTCGCTCCCCGCCTACAACATCCAGCGCGATCTGATGACGGCGCTGGGCAAGCTGCCGATCAACAAGGAGACGTTGATCGCCAGCGGGGTCGGCAAGGTGATTGTATTCTACACACGCAGCAAGCGACCGGAGCCAGGTATCAAGCGCATGGCCGAGCGCCTGCTGGCCGAGTGGACGCGCCCGATCCTGCAGCGCAGCGACGACTATTCCAAGCGGGTGTACCAGGAGGCTGCTTTTGATCCTACGTATGTCTTCCATCTCCCCTCTTGTCTGCAGCGCTTTCGTCGTCGATCGTCGCTCTCGATTGCTTCGATATCGCACTTTTGTATTTCCCTGCTAACTTGAACTAGTCAACTGGGCACATCTCGTCCCAAATCGGCGCAAACGTCGGTGGCGGAGGCGCGCGCGCGCGAAATGCTGCCGCCGCGACTGGCGAACCGGGCGCGCGCCGACCTCACTCACACGAGTTACACGGTGGTGCCGCGCCCGACGATGGTACAGGAGAGCAAGTTCGCGCGACCCTTGGGCGCCAGCGGCGAGGATCGATTCCGGAAGATGCGGGCGCGACAGATTGCGGCGTCCAAGGGATCCCGGCGATAGCGGTGGGTTGTTGGAATGTAGCTTTAGTTGCATATGTTTTTTATCTTTGCTTCGTATTCGATTTATTTACGGACGGGAAAGGCGCAGGAAATTGGGAATGAATTGTAATCATTTAATTTAAAGCTTACGGAGTATGTGACTAGTGAGGAGAGGCGAGGAGACGAAGGAGACGAAGGAGAAGGGAAAGGGAAAAAAGTCTGACCAGACATGCGATTGATTGATCAGCCCATAAGGCTAGATTAGACTAGACCGTGGACGATGGACAACAAATCGATCTGTTCCTACAACACCCGGTATACGGGGAATGAGGGGGCGTAATCTCGCACGAGAAAAGAACGAGAATTGCATGTATGAGTAACAACCTTAGCCACCGGTGCATCAGGAAAAGCACGAGTAATCGCCGATTCGGCAGGAAAGTTCCGAAGTGATACTATGGATGGATAGCACTGAGCAACTGGGCCAGCCACCCTATGAGAGAGGGTGAAATTCCCTCATGATGACTTGACGCTGAAGGAACCAGCAAAGGCCGCGGAAACACCGAGTCAGAGCCGCAGATCCCGTTGCGGGTTCGCAAGACGTCACTCGGGTTTTGCTTTGCCGGGCGACTTTTTGCTCGCCTTGCGCCTTATATCCCGCCTGCTTCCTACATTTTGCGTCTTCGCTTCTACATTCTACATTCTACAATTCCTACTGCACTACTGCACTACTGCACCCACTCACTGCACATATTATTGTGTTGGTGTGCGCCATCCAATTGAGAGAACACAATCCCCATCCACATTACTCACCCTCAAACGAACACAATCGCACAATGAAGATCCTCACCAAGGAAGAAGAAGATGCTCACTACCGGTAAGCTTCCCCCCTTGCCCTTCAATTCAATCCCCCAACCCCTCCAAAAAATCTCCCACCCCCCAACCCCCACCAAATCCTCACCACCACTAACACCCCCGGTCCTCCAGCTCCGTCCTAAAAGGCGGCACCATCGGCGGCGTGCTGGGCCTGATCGGCGGCGTGGCGGGCGTGCTGGCGTTCAGCAAGCGCAGCGCGACGATCCGGAACCTGACGCTGCCGATGAAGTCGTTCCTGGTGACCTCGTCGGGCACGTTCGTGGGCATCATCGCGGCGGACCACGCGTCGCGCGACTTCGAGGCCTCGCGGAACGCGAGCCAGGTGTGGTACAAGGACCGCAACGAGCGGCTGCGCCAGGAGGAGCTGGCCTCGCTCTCCACCGTGGACCGCATCACCGCCTGGGCCAAGCGCGAGAAGTACAAGATCGTCGGCGCCACCTGGGTCGCGTCCATGGTCGGCAGCTTCGCCATGGTCAACCGCAACAAGTTCCTGAGCAGCAGTCAGAAGATCGTGCAGGCGCGTGTGTACGCCCAGGGCCTGACGCTGGCGGTGCTCGTCGCCAGTGCCGCGTTTGAGATCCAGGACCAGCGGCGCGGGAAGGGGTTGTTGGATAAGGCGAAGGCCGAGAAGGAGGCGGCGAAGCAGGAGAGTAAGAGTGAGCCCGCGGGTGAGGAGACCGGGGATCTGTGGAAGGATATGGTTGCTGCGGAGGAGGAGCGGTTGAAGCGCAAGAAGCAGAGTCTCTACGAGCATGATTATCTGGAGGGACATGCCAAGGCGGAGGAGAAGAAGGGTCGGCCTGAAAAGAAGGAGGAGCAGGCCAAGGGGGAGGAGGGGGAGAAGAAGGAGTAGATGCTTTTTTTGTTGCTTGATAGACTTGGAGTGGTCTGCGGGTTTGGACCACTCTGCTTTCTTTTTTTCTTTTTACTTTTGCCTTCTTCGTCGAAAAGATTTGGGTGCGAGGTATCACGCTTTCTTAATGCATGCTCATGAGTGTCTATATCATCAATGTACAACATCTCTCTGGACTTGTGGATATACGGGCTTTTGTATCCAGATGTAGGATGGGCAGATGGGCGGGTCGAGAGGTCTTTGTTCAGGGTTTAGGACTTCTCTATGCACGAGTATAACTACGGAGTTACCAAATATGGACCTTGACGAATGACTCTATACTTCTGCTCGCACTCTAGATATTACAAAGGGACACAAACATGCAAAAGATGTAGTTACTCAGGAACCTGGTTATAAACCGGGTCAACTCAATCTCAATCACATTAAAATACACTCGGTCCAGACTCATAGACTCATGCATCCAACCCTGAGGCAATGCCCCACATGACATCATAAGCATACACACATCACGTCAAGCACATTAAGCAATTAAGCAATTAAGCAACCGTCTTCTCGGATTCCCCGGAATTCTGCCCCACCCACTGTGACTCCTCCAGATTATTCAGCTCATCCTCCTCCTTGTCCAGCTTCAGGTTGCTGAGGTAGAACAGGTTCCCTCCGATGAACGCCAGCACCGCCACGAACCCATAGTTCCAGATCAGCAACGGGTCCGTCGACAGCGCCGTCAAGCCCTGCTGGATAGCCGAGGAGATAGCATTCATAAACAGGTACAAAGATGAGACTGTTCGACAGATTAGCATGACATGAACAACTTCTTCAAAGTGGCATCGCAGCTTACCTAATGACTTCATGTTCTTCGGCGCCTTGGTGTAGGCGTACTCGTACCCCGTAATCGAGGTGAAGATCTCCGAGAACGCGATCAGCACGTACGGCACCGTCTGCACCCACACGTTGATCGGCGCCGCCTCGTCGCAGGTGCTCGGATGGTCGCCGCAGGGGCTCAGCTTGTAGATGTAGTACTGCGTCACGGCCGCCGCGATCATCGAGGCTGCTGCCAGCAGGTACCCAACGTAGATGCGCTTGATCGGCGTGAAGTTGATGCCCATCTTGCGCAGGCCCGGGTACACGAACTGGTCCATGATCGGGATGAAGATGATCAGGGCCAGCGGGTCCAGGTTGTTGATGATGTCGTTGGGCACCCCATGCAGCTGCATAGTGGCCGCCTGCGAAGTCAAGTTGTTGGTCATCTGGCCGTATGCCAGCCCTGATGATCTTTGTTAGCGGTGGTCAGGTTGAACAGAAGGCGATGAGCACTCACAGTAGAGAGGGTACCATGCGAAAACCGCGCAGGCCTTGACGGCACGGCGTACTTCGTCCACCCATTGATCGTCAAAGGTCATCCAGTGAGGCTTGTTCTCTACCTGGCTGGGCTTGACGCCGTCCCAGAACTCGGTGGACTGGCATCGCTTGAAGCTGTGTTTCTGTTAGTCACGACTCCTCCAATACACAGACAAAAGAGTACTCACAAAACGACAGGGTTCCAGGTCCACTGCCTCTTCAACGCAAGTCCCCACAGCTTGAATGCCTTCGCCGCGACAGACCCTGTAGGAGGTGTCACATGGTACTTGTTACGGCAGGCGAACAATACCAGGGGACAGAATCCGAACATGATGGTCGGTAGCAGGTAGGCCAGCCAGTAGCCGACGTACTTCTCAGCGTACACCATGGCCACCGATCCAATCAGCGAACCGACGTTGATCATGAAGTAGAAGTACAAGAAAATGCGGGTGATCGTCTGCGCTGGATCGACAATGACTCGCTCTCCTGTCTTGGGCTCGGTCTTGACCCAGAGCTTGGTCTCGCGGTGCTGTTCGGCAATCAGCGGTGAGATGTTCGATTTGAACCCACCCACGCCGATTCCGAAGAAGACCAGGCCGACGCAGAAACAGGCAAGGGCGCCGTTGGTATTGGTGATGACCTGGGGAATAGAGGAAATGATGATAATGATATGTCCCAGCATTGCAAAGGCGATGGCGACCTGAATCGTCTTCATCCGGCCCCAGTATTCATCGGCGATCCAAGCACCCAGAATGGGCATAACGTAGCACCAGAAGGTGTTGACTGTATAGTTATGTTAGAGGGATTGAGAGCAGCTGCCGTAGACGCAACTTACAGGTGGTTAGCGCGGTGGATGTTCGTTGACCCTGACCGAGGGCTCCGGACTGCCCACTTCCTCCAGCACCAGTATCCGAACCTGCAGGCAGAGGCTGCTGAATGAAGTTGGTATCTGAGAGGATGTTAGCAGCGCTCATGGAGACGGCCGGATGCACGTACAGACGGCAGTTGTTCCATAGTAGGAAAACCGCTCGCACAGCTCGACGAATGCAATTGTATAGGCAGTCCACTTCACTTTGCCCGCCACACGACGCAGGCTTTGCTCCTCCTCCACCGTTGGAATCTCGCGGCCATCATCATCATACCTGGTGGCAGTGATTACAGCATCCTCCTTCTCTGGTGTCTGGAGTTCTTTTTGAGGCACGTGCGCTTGGGCGACGTAGACAAGGTCGTCAGGACCAACGGGGTCGCTCATGGTGTCAGATGGTGCAGAGAATCACACCTTACAATGACAGCACAAGTGTAAAAATATTTTTTTCTGCGGATTGAGAACAAGAGAGTGTCCGGACTGGGTTTATATGGGAAACAGATAATAAACTGAGAAGACAAGGCACTTCGCCCCATTCTGATAAGAGTCGCCTCCCGTCTAGCGGGGCTAGCATTGGGTTCGCTCGCGTGGAGTCGACTATCGGCCGTCCATTCAGACAGACATGGGGGGATTGAAGATAGCCAAAAGTTAGCGTCAGGCTCTGGTGGGTACCGTCTTACCCCTGCTTGTTAGCATGGGGATGTCTGCTGGACAGGGAAGGTATCCCATACCTTTCCCAAGCGGCTATAGCGTCTTTCGAGAAATCGATGGCCTGTGGAGGAAAAGGGTGGAACACAGATCATTCCGTATGCAGCAGTCAGACGGAGCACGGAACTGCCTATCGAGGAAACACGCATCTCCAATAGACAAACGTCTTCATATGTAGCGTCCTTCCAGAAGCTATTTCTCCCTGATCCGCTCCCTGTTGTGGTGCATGGTATGCGAGCATTTTTCGAGGGTTATGGCTCCTCGCCAACCGATCGTAGGCACTGCAGACCTCTTTGTGTGAAGTCTTTGAAGCGACATGGTTGTCCCACTGATCGCAGAAGACAGCGAATTAGGTACAACCGCTGGTCAGACAGCGGGAGAGCTCCAAAGGCGGGTTAAATCTTATGCACTCCGGAGCCCCGATGGAACATTCATGGGATAGTCTTGGCACGGCCCTCTGAGATATGCGACTGGAAGCCTAGAGTACGCAACCAGGGCCATCCGAGGTGATGGTGCCAGAATCCCCGCATTCGCAGGTTCGTTCCTGACTTCCTTGCCCAGCCACCAGCTTGCTTTGAAGCCCGGGATCAATTCAACCGGCAGCGGGATCATCCCCAATCTCAGACTAACGCATACATTGTGTGCGGTGTCGACCAGAGTATACCGGTGGACTAGTACATGCGACGGTGTATTGCAACAGCCGGACGAGTATCCACTAGGCGGAACGAAGCGAGGCTTTCCCTCCTGAACCATAAGCGAGAAGTGCGTGCAGGATGGCCAATCGGACATGACCAGCTTGTCGATGCAACGTTGACCAGCGGATGGCGTTATCCTGCAGATGAGTAGCATTGTTTCCGGTCAAAGCAGGCCGGCTTGGATAAACAGGAGAGAATGACACCATTGCGACCACTGATAATGCTATATCCGATAGACCAACCAACGTTGACTTGACAGCGGAGGGTGGAGCCAAATTGCAGCCATGGTCGTCGAGTCCGGTCTTGGCAGTGGAGCTTGCTCTGAAGCCAATTTGGAGCGGTTGGCCCAGAAGATTAGAGATAAATCTCTCCGTACCAATTGGTCACCAAACAAGTTCGTGCTGCTGCAACTGATAAGCATCCTTGAAAATCAGGATGAGGCACGCCTGATCTCACTCATGGCAAAAGAGCTGAGATAGCAGGCTCCGGTAGAGTCGCCTCAATGGCAACCGAAGGAATACCGCGCCGTCACGTAGTTCCAGGCAACGATGCTTTGTACTGCGCGTCCAGAGTCAGGCGAACGTCTGCCACCACGGAAAGTTCCGAGGCTCTTACGTACTGCGAATATGTCACCATCAGGTACCATCTTCTAGTCATTCCTGCAAACGCGTACATAAGTCAATCACGTGCGGGCGATATTGTCGTGAGCAAGCATCGAGGCTCTGACGGCACTAAACAGAATCACTTCTTGAACATGTTTCCAGGGGAAACAAGCTCTATTTTAACAGTTTCCAGAAGCCCATGAGCTGCATCCGCGACCAAGCCTTTTTTACCTCTGTAGGATTGCGGGGACGACAGCTCGTCATTCAACGGCCTCACAATTGGATATTCTACTCCGGTGTAAATCAATCGTTATCACCACAATATGCGCCGATGTCGGACATAAATAAGCTAGGGTTGCATAATGAACGCCATGGAGCGCGGTACTCACTACCATTCGTCATGATCAGGCACCGGTTGGGCCCGTTGAGTCGTAGGGCGTGACCTTTCCTGTTGCTGTTTAGATCGCCGGCTTGGTCCAAATACGTGCGATGGAGGTATGATTGAGATAGCAGGAAAAATGCGGTACACCGGTGAAATGTCACGAACTTCTCAGAACAGAACGTGCTGCTCAACTCAATTGTCGGCTGATATGAGATTGTGCAGTATTCGGATTGGTCCTCTTCGGCGGCTTGCATTCCCTCCACCATAGTCCCACCAATAAGCGGCTGGATCGATATGCAGCTCCGGCTGACGGGCTGACACTAACATAAGACAACTTCGCGACTTCGACGATTCGCAAGGCGAGTCAATAATAACATGGTTTAGTGACCAAAGAAGAATGACCGTGCCTCCGATCACTGCGTTTCTCCAACTGGATGAAGACCGAACAGCCCAACTGATGCAAGCCGCCCAACGCGGCTTGCTCAGTGAGGTACGGTATTTGCTCTATGGAGTCTCTCCGGATGTACGAGATCAAACTGGTCGCACTGCCTTCTCCTGGGCGGCATCCTTTGACCTGGCGCAGGCGAAAATGGCTACTGATCGCGATCGTCCGGGTCAGTTGATGCAATTGCTTCTCGACCGTGGAGCCGATCCTAACCTTGCGGACCTGCACGGCGAGACCGCTTTGCATTGGGCCGTGAAGGCCGGTGACGAGCAGATGGTGGAGCTTCTCCTGCAAAAGGGCGTGCTGTCAGAGGTGGCCGACCTGCGGGGCCGCACACCGTTGTCGCGGGCCGCCGAACGGGGCCATGACCGGATCGTCGCGCTCCTCCTTGACAAGGGTAAAGCAGACCCGGATAGCAAAGATGGGCGAGGGCGGACCCCGCTCTCCTGGGCGGCCGAGAATTGGCATCTCAAAGCCGCGAGCTTGTTGGTCGATCGTGGAGCCAGTGGAGACATTCAAGACCACGAGGGACAGATCCCTCTGTGGTGGTTGGTTAGTAACACGGCCAGAAGAAGTATGCTAGCGCATGGGGTCATATCACCCGACGTTGATTTTCAGAAGTGGCTGACCGTGCTCGGGCCTGGCCCTGGAATTGAGCCCATGACAAAAGCCCGACGCACGTTCCTGGCATGGGCAAGCGAGCGTGGTGATCGAGAACTGGTCCACCATCTCTTAAGAACCACATGGGCAGACCCTAATTCAATTGATCGTTATCGCAAAACGCCCCTCATTTATGCATTGGAATGGAGCCACTATGAAGTGGCCGATACGCTTATGCTGGGCGTTGGGGATGATGTAGACCGAAAGAAGGACGTTGTGTCTTTGCCTGTGATGATTCAAGAAGGTCGTTCGCGACTACTGAAACCTTTCCTCGAACGGTACAAGCCCAGTCTAGAAGGAGAGGACGAGTACAGCTCAATTCCCTTGATGAGGATGGCACTCCAGCAGGCCGATAGACCCACCGTGGCTGCTCTCTTGGAGCACAAAGCTCGCATCGACGAATTGGAGAACGGGGACTGGTTCGGCCCTTGTAGTGAAGGGAAACCGACTGTGAACCTGATGCCGTCACGCAATCTTCCCACCCAAGGCCAACATTCGATCCCGGTGATGGACATGACTATCCCAGAAGGTGATCGGGCAGGCCTGATTGCCTTGATGAATCATCGGCTGAACATGCTGGATCTCGACGAGGGTTTGAACTTCGGGGCTTATAGCCGCGGAATCAAGCCCAGTGTAGTTGTTGATCTTGTGGCTCTGCGGGACGGACGCAGAAAGGCCCGGTGGTTAACAGCCGATGTATTGCAGAAAGAGATCAAAGCATTGCCCAAGACAGTCGACGAAACCCATCTGATGTAGGTCATTCGTATACAGTCACTGTTATGTGCCTCTGTTTTTGACTATTGAGCACAGGCTCTTCCGAGAGAACTATGTCTGGGAAACGTATTGCCCACTGACAGAAACGCCTAATGAGATGAACTTCTCTCTGGGACATAAAAGTCCCTGCAGGACATTCACACTGTTTATTCGACTGGATATAAAGATAGGGGACTTGCTCACAGATGACGATGACGAGAAGGGCACGGTCCGAATTGTCGAATGGGCAATGCTGGAGGCACCACCGAAAGCAATTCACTACTATAGCAATCTGCCTTATGGTTGGATTCCACAGAATGATCTTGAACTAGTGCAACTGTTCATGCAGACTTGGCGAGAGGACTGGTTGATGATCTGCCGAGAGGCCAGGAGGTATCTCGGACGACTGGTAAGCTTTGTCAATATGCTCGATGGCGGCTGGTACTGATGACCGCAGCGCACGCATCAATTGTCTGCGCGGGGAAAAGATGATCGACTCATTGATTCCATAGCCAAGCACATGCAGCGATGGACTCACGTTCAGGGATTGCTGGCGGAGCAGCTAAGCCAAGTCCGAGACTTTGTCACCCAGTATCAGCGGTTCAGCGAGACGCGCAAATTCACCGAGCAGATGCAGGATATGATCTCCGAGCTCGAACGGGATATATCAGGACAGATCGATAAGCTGGAGCAGACGGTCCGCGACCTGCTTCAGATTGTGAGAAACTCCAGTCTCATCTTCGCTGTATTGTCCGCTGATATGTACAGGAATTTGCATGGGTGTCGATTAACGAAGCACATCGATCGACTAGTTTGGCAACTAGTATGAAACGACTTAGTTGGATTACGGTAGGATGTCATCTGCAGAGGACCTATATAGCACTGACGAGCTGTATCTTCGCAGTTTATCTTTCTTCCTTTGACTTTCGCCTCTGTGAGCATTCCCTCTGTGGCAGTGCAGAACAGTTTACTCACCTTGTCTAGAGCTTATTCGGTATGAATGTGGATATCCTGGAAGATAACCCATCCTGGCGTTGGTACCCTCTTATTGGGGGCGTGCTACTGCTCCTGTCTGTCGCCAGCTGGGTGTTTTTCAAGTTCATCAATGTGAGTCTCAAGCTGGAGGTTCTCACCGCAACCACTGACCAACGACTAGGTGGAACAATGGTTGGAGCGTAGAGTCGAGGATATGGCTCGCAGAACAGGTCGCTCGAACAAGGATCCTTTGTTGGTATAATAGAGACCTTTGTATTGAAGGAAGCCCAAGGAAGAGATGAAGTTCGTTTTCAGACGTCAGCCGCGATCTGAGGTTGATGCTAAAGAGACGTAGACTAAGAAGGTTGGCTCCGCATCCTTCCCACTGCGAGCAAACGGCACAAACAGAGGTGATGGATAAGATCAATCGAGGGACCGTTGGATTCATCCATCATTCCTTCTTCCACTTCACAGCACCAGAGCCTATGATACACATGCATCAAGCGTGGTATAACAAACACGTGCTCGTCCAAGAATCTGGCCAGTTTGTGCTTATTACCACACAGACGACTTGCCCATCCAGAATCCACTTTACTTGAGCACCTTCCAATGCAATCCTTGTCATTCTACTCTAGCCATCGCTAACTGCGTCTACTCGAATGTCCAGACCAGTTTGGCTGACAGCTTTAGACAGTCCCCTTCAGGGCTTCTTCTTCTCGAAACGGTTGAAGGGAGACTTGTTTGGCACGAGCATAAGCCACATCAAATATATCGTCCCCGGCGGAAAATATCCTCAATGAGAGGGCATGAGGGTCAATATCCAAACCAGTCAGAGGCAACATTCTCCGTGAAGGGAGAAGCGATCATTCAATTAAATTCTTACTTGCAGCTAGGGGAGAGACCTGAGAGCGAAAGACACAATCACTCTCCAGTCATCGAAGGAAGACTGCTATAACCTACACGGACAAATCAGGGAATTTGGAGACATGATCCGAGACTGAAGAACACCCATGAAACGCTGGAAGTGCTCAGCTACACAGATCTCAGCTTCAAACTGCCTGGATGCTTCTAATTACTGAACCTCAGCAGGCTTTGCATGACAACAACACTTCGAAGAACATATTAAAGAACGCATCGAAGAACACACTGAAGAAGGCATTGGAGCTCCTCATGCCAGTCTAAAAGACCGAGGATCTGCTGCTTACGGACGGGTGGCAGCGTGCATTGGCACTAAACACGCTCGAGGAAGCCGATACAGACGAAACCATGAGTATCTGACGGATTGATAGCCTGTATACAGATGACTTGACTGATTTCAACCTGCTTCACGCACAATGTTTAATATTAAGATCATTCCGCAGCCTGTGATGATCAAGTGGTCTGCCTGCTCTTGCACTATTTGACCGCCGGGCAATCTGAACATATAACATGATCACACACCGCACATCGTGGCTGGGTGTCATGCTTCGGGCCATCATCACATTGGCATTACACCATAAATCAGCTCGCTTCGAATAATAAGTTGATGTGTGCGGGATTGTTCTTCAGAACATACGCAGAAATACAAGTAAGGGCTTGTCACCATAAGCGATAAGCTGCTGATCCACCTGATTAGTTGACGCTAGTCGTGGAACAATGGTTGGGAAATTTGAGTTCCTCTGTCGCTGAGGTGATGCAAGGCTAGCAGCCATCGTAATCCTAGAGTCTTCACACATAGCGATAGGTGGCATTGCAAGAAGCACAAATTTGAGAGAAGGCATAGAAGAGGGACAATTCGAGTCTTTTGTGTGAGCGGTAATGCGGGGGAATGAGCCGATTACCTACAAGCTCCGCATCACCTTACTCGACCAAACCTCTCAACCTATCTCTAGGCCAGATCAAAGATTTCAACATTCAAGTCACAACAGAAGCAGGCTATGCTAGCCCACGATGACTATAGACCTGCATAGGTTTGCACTTCATCGATCGAGATGGCAGCTGCCCAGTCTCTTTTGGATGAAGTACATGAGGGACTACCAATGAGGCCGGCTGACACCAATCTCCATACGCTTGGATCGATCAGCAACCATAACGTTGTTCTCATTTGCTTGTCAAGTTGCATGTACGGTATAGCCTCCGCAGCCGTAAAATCAATCGGCTGCTGACTAGTACCTAGCTTCTGCTCGGTTCAGTTTGTGTTGATGGTCGGCATGGGGGGAGGGACAAGGAACAGAAAGCGATGGGGATGTACCAGCGAGCACATGCAGGCTACGCGAGAAACCTGAGTCACGATCACGTCAAGACTCGCGAGACGGTGGAGAAAATAAGCCTTCTATCCTCGTTATCGAGGCCCAGCAAGCGAAAAGTGATGATTGAGTTCTTCCGTGGACGTATATGATAGCCCTATCTGGTCTCCTTCTAGCTCTTACTATGGACGAGTTTCACGACAGTTTTCAGCCCCATGAATATTGCCGCACTTTCGGTCCACCGAGATGATGCGCATATGATATCCAAGCTGGTTTGATCCTCTATAACCCACTGTCTCTGGGAGAATCAGACATGTTCGACCGATTGGGCCGATAGGAAGGCGATGATAAGGGGGCTATGAGCGCAACAGACCGCAACAACTGGCCAAAGGGACTTCAGACCACGCATGAATCGCAAGGGGTGCCAGTTTTCTCAAGCATGTATAGTATGTGTGCACACACGGGCAACCATTACCCAGCATACCCACGCGCAATTCCTAAACAGTCCGCACTGGAGCTTAGCCCCCATTCCCTCAGGCACCCAAAACATACCCCTCGGTCCCCTCATCCTCCTTCTCCACCCGAATCTCATTCCACTCTACCCCCTCCAGCACGGCGACCCGAACCGGCACGACATCCAAGTTCCGCCTGACCAGCTCCTGCTTCTCGGGCGACAGCCTCACCACCACCGCCGACGGGGGTCCATGCAGATGCGTGTAGAGCTGCACGCCGCAGACGCCGCAGAAGCGATGGCCAGTGAATTGCCGGCCAAAGCGATACTCCCGGAGCTGGGTGCGGGGATCCTCAATCGCCACGGCGGACTTGGCCGGGTAGATGCAGACATTCGCGTTCTTGGACTCGTCAATTCTAGCAAAATCAATCGAGTGGGGAGGTGGGGGGGGGGGGATGACTAACCCGTTGGCAGATACTGCAGTTATCCTCCTTGATTTGGACGTGGCGGAGAGGCGGGCTCGTCACGGTGAGCTGGATCGCACCGCAATGACAGCCTCCCTGGTATACCTCCAAGGCGTCCGAGGTGGTCGGTTGCGGTTCGGTGACGGGCGAGTTGCGGTTCTTCGGGAGCGGGTGGCAATCTGCGCCCGAGCTTGGATTTAAGCATGGTTTATACACTGTTCTGTTGAGGAATTGGCGCCTTACGTGGTCACGGAGAGATGGAACGGATTCACGTCCAGCAATGCTCGTGCCTACCAGGGGATCGTCTTAGCGATACTTAAACATACTGACAGTTTGCAGATTGCAGGGGAAAGGATCGGACGCCTCACGCTGACACCTATACGAGCCTGGCCTGAGACGATAAGGTGGTTGCGGACCGTGAGCTGGGTGCCGCATGTAGCACAGAACTAGGACAGGTTACCAAGTAGATCAAAGAAGTCAAGTCCGTGGGGCCAAGATTGTATCCCGGCAGGTGATTCGGGGCACTGTACCTCATGCTCCCCCTTCTGCGACTTGTATCTGGCTAGGGTATCGCGCCCCCTGGTGAACTTCAGCTCATTGTCTTCGGCGAAGATCCATGGACAGCCTGTTTTCGCACAGAGTCTACACGGACATGCGAAAGTCATCTGAAATGGTCTGGCGAGATGGATCTCGAAGCGCACGGCGCCGCAATGGCAGTTGCCTGGATATGTGGTTGGTTCATCTTGAGCCATGGTATCTGAGGATTGAGCTTCCGAGACGAGCCTGAACGAAATAGAGATTAGAGGTGAGGGGATCACGAAAGACGCAGGTGCTTTTAATTTGAATAAAGACAGTCCAACGCCTTATCAGTTTATCGCCGAGCTGAGAACCATTTATAGGACCGGTCGACCGGTCTTACATCCGACGATGACAAGGGTTCGAGTGGTGAGATGGAAGGGGGGGATCCGATCCCGGTAGATATCGCTTTGATGTGGGGATGTATCTGGAACATAGAGACGGTGTAATTAGCAGAGATATATGCGCGAAGCTCAGTTCACTTGAATCTGATAGAGTCAAGGCCGAAGTCCAAGCTCTATAGCCTTTTACTTCCGATACGGATGTTGGGACTGGAGCATGTGCTCGTCGGGAACAATCGCCTACCTAATTGACTAGCGTATGTCAATCTAGTGACATACCGAACACAGTGGCTCACGTATGTACATTCAGAACAATTGTTGCGCTTGTTCTCTTCAAATTTCAAGCGTACATGCGCTACTCCCATTCACAGCGATCACACCTGCTCTCTTTTCGCTAGGTAACTGCCTACACCCCAATTTGTGAGTATGATACCCTGCACAAGTACTATTAACACGGCCTGGCTCGGGCGCCATTACCCAAATATCCAGCGATATGCTATTGTTTAACACAAATAAATCTCCGTCCAATAACCCACATCAACCCAACCTCAACCTCATGAAACAAGTCCCAGCACGGGGCACATAATCCCCAAACGCCTCACAGACCTCAAACCCCTGGCCAGCATAGAACTCCCTCGCCGCCGCAAACGAGCTGTCAGTCCCCGTCTCCAGACTCAACCACACATACCCCCTCCTCCGCGCCTCACGAATGATATGCTGTACGAGGGCGCGCGCCACACCCTTGCGGAGATGCGCCGCCGCCGTGCGCATGGACTTGATCTCGCCCGCCGTCGGGGAGAGCTCTTTGAGCGCGCCGCATCCCAGGAGATCCGGGCCGTGCCAGGCCGTATACATGGAGATAGCGGGTTGCTGGAGGGCCGTGAGGTCGAGGACGTAGCAGGACTCGGCGGGCGATTTGCGTTGGAGGTCGGCGATGTGGAGGGCCAGGAGGGCGCGGGTCTCCGGGTGGGAGAGGTCGTCGAGTTTAATGAGCATGATGGACGGAAATGCAGGAGCTGGCTGGCTTCGATGAGATGCAACAAGGGGCTTTTGTTGATGAAAGCGTGGCATGAATGGTTGATTGATAGTAAGCTTGACGGGTGAGTCATACCGCTTTTGGCGTGAGAATAAACTTTGATACTATCATGGTATAATCAACAATTTGAAGAGATCTATGTTCTATTTTAGACTTTTTGTCATCTCTTATCTTCTATTTACAGTATCAGTAGATACACATATCATATCAAGGGTACAGGCTTCAGAACAAGAAGCTTTTTGTATGTTCAGCATAGCACTACCAGTCTCAATGTCTCACACAACAACAGCAGTCTTGATCCTTGTGTTGGATTTCTCTTTGAGTTGATTTTATCTAACTCGGAATATTTCCCAGTATGGCCCTCTCACTTCCAAGTTCTATGGGCAACTGTCTCTCGGGTTTCACCTCGGCCAGCACAAAACACTAGATCTAGTCTCTCTGAGAAAATGAATTGCGGAACACTATTACAGTAGAGCTGTTGAGTCTTATACCGCTGAAGATGTTGCTATCGGAGTTTTTTTCTCATTCTTATTGACTTCCTGATCAAAGTTCTTTAGGGTCTCTCCGCTGAGTTCCTTAGCCGAGATACTCATGGAGAGTAATTAGGTATAAAGACACAAGATCCTCTACTCATTACCTCTGTTGTATCTATCACTGAGAAAAGTCGGTTCGAGGGAAAGCCATCAACAACCGAAAGTTCTAAGACAATTGATACTCTCCACGACAGTAGAGTCACCCCCTTCAATTGCTGGAGGTTGACCCGAAAAATTCTTTATCGCATAGACCGTGTAACGCAGAGCAGCTCATGATCAATCTTTACACATAAGGATCCTCACAAGAAGGGCTCTAAGCAAAATCTTATAGTTCGGAATCTATTCTGCCCAGCGAATCTACCCAGCGAAGCAAACGCAAACTATAAGCATACAAAGCAACCCACTTAAATGCAACAAATGGCACCGAGCCTCGGTGGCCCATTGGTCATCAGTATTTGGAGCGAACACTGCCGTAGCGCACCCCGTTGAATTCCAGCTCGAACAACAGAGAAGCAGATGTAGGAATCATGACTAGATCATAATAAACCTCATAATACTCAACGCCCTTGAGATTGCACATCTTAACAAAGAGATCCCTAGGAATCCGGCTGAGATCTGCTTCCACGGTGCATAGCCGCATGGTCTCTATGGCTGGTAAGTAAAAAAAGACTATCATTCACTTGTGCGACACTCACGATTGCTCACGGCTGGGGCTCTGTCACTGTCGGAGAACAAAAGGTCTTCCTTCACACACAGCCCGTGTTCTGGACTTGCTTCCAGTAGACGGTAAAATGACACTCTGACCGGTTTGTTCTCCGATACAACCGAGGACTGGACCGATTAGCCCGCTTGAGTCTCTGAATGAAGATGCCAAGGAACGGCACATGTATGATGAATCAAATGCTGGCAGAATCAAAGCCAGTCGAGGAATTGGGCGACGAAACGGCGCCAGCGCATCCGGTGAGTGATGTTCAAACCATCCGGCTGCTCCGTCACCACGCTAAGCGAAGTTCAGAATTTAACACACTTCCTTTCTGGCTCTCAAAGGAGGATGTCAAGCGGCAAATGATAGCCAAGCAGGAAGCCGAATCCATGCATAAGATAAACACAGCAGTGCAGCTGGCGAAGCAAGAAGCAGCGGTGCGAAAGGAAGAGGAAGAGAAAGAGAGGAGAGAACAAGTCTGGCAAGAGCGCTACCAAGGTCTAGTCAGGCAGCGGTTGGCAGACCGAAAGATAATCCAGCAACAATAACGCCTGTTGCTCCAGGCACGTGAGGAAGCGATGGCGAGGGACGGACGTCACCGGGAAGAGCTCGATCGCTTGTACTCCAAACTGAATGCTCTGCAGACTGGCACCTTCAAGTTATTGGGGGATGATCTGATTGTGAATCAGATGCGCCGGCTGAATCAACTCCTCGACAACTGGGTCAAAGTCAACTTCAAAGATGTGGCAAAGATAAAACCAGAATCGATTGAGGCAGACGGGCAGCTCAACGCGCCCCAGCGACGGGCCTGGGTTCATGCCACTGCCGCCAGTCTTATCCATGCTGAGATATTTGAACCCTACCACTTCTGGTTGCCTGAAAACCCTCTGGGAGATTTTCTGTCTAAGATAGAACTCAACGTCCGAGACAACTGTACGTATCTTGCGACTGGAAGTCTTGACATATACGAGTCAGTACTAAGTCTCAGCAGGTTCAGAGATTGAGCTCAATGTGTGGAGGATGGCTACAAGCGTGGCAATCCAGGCGGGCTCAGGTCGTCGATGCGAGCGTGTGATCAGCCGCACCGTCCGGAACGCTGAAAGAATACTCGCGGATTTTTCTTCCACTCAAGAAGAACAAAGACAGGGCCAGCTTCGAGGACTGCTGTGGAAATGCGCGGATCTCAGGCATGCTTTGAGCCAGCAGAAACAACGGTTCTTCTTCTGCTGCAGTCCACTGGGAGTGATGTTTGACCCTCAGTCTATGATTTTTGGTGGAGGCGATGAGGAACCAGCCTCTATAGTTCGATGGTCTTTGTGGCCGGCAATCATGAAGAGGGTTGACAAGCGCAGTTCTGTTGTGGAGCCAGAATTAGTCTGGACAATGGAGTCATGAGAAACAATTCCACTCCGATGGGGGAGTGCATTGCGTCGAACTTGCTAACGGACAGATTTGCTGAAGGTGATCCATTTTGGCTATGGCTCGCTTGAGTTGAAGTTCTATTGGCCTCGCACGCCCGCGAAAAGAATACACTGATTATTCATATACTCTCCTTGGGTTCGTAGACGTTTATAGCCAGCGGCAGCATCCCTTCTCGTGCAACAACTAATGCAGCGAACTACAATATCAAGACCAACCATCACCCCCAGCCAAGCCGAAATCATACATTTTACATCGAATCCCATAAAAGAAAGCCCGAAATCTAAGTCTAACTCTATGCAAGCAACCACTCACTCCCCACCCCACTCCTCAAACAACTTCGCATCCAAGCCAGCATACCCCTCCACAACCTTCAACCCACGCAACCTCTCCTCCTCGATCCTCTCCCACGGCCAATCCTCCTCATTCCACGAATGAACATTCCTCTCCCTCTGCTCCTCCTTCGCCGCTTCATCACCATCCCCAGCACCCAGCAACACCTCTCTCACGACCGCCGCATCCACCCCCGTGGCCGTGGCCGTAATCCCCTCATCCAACAACTGCCCCTCCTCACTCCTACTCCCACTCCCACTCCCACTCCCACTCTCCCCCGGCGTCAAGCTCCCAGAACCCACCGACCCCACCGGCCTCTCCGGCAAGAACCCACTCGCCCTCAGCACCCTCTCAGGGGGCACCGTCACCCGTCCCTTCTTAACCACATACTTACTCAGCGCGGTAGCCAACAACCTCCCCTTCTTTCCGACCTGGGGCCTCACAAAATAACTAATCATATACACCCACTTCTGATCCCAACCGATCACCCTCGAGGTAATCTCATAGCGCTCGAAGGGCTTGATCTCGCGCTTGAAGCTGCAGAACACGCTGCCCAGGGCGATGTACAGCCCGAGTTTGCTTCCGCCTTTGGGGAGCTGCTTCTTCTCCTTCCCGTCGGATGATGCTGATGATGCTGAAGACGCGGCCGCGGCTTCGGCGTCGAGGTCGCGGTTCACGATGCGCGACCCCGGGGTGAAGATGCGGGTGGCCAGGGCGGTGCGCGCGACGTCCAGGTCGGAGAAGTAGGTGCTGTTGGACTTGTGGAAGTTGTAGTCAGTTTCCAGGATCGGGGTGCGCGAGCTGATGGTCAGCGGGAGGAAGATCGGGTGCGTCGCGTGCGGCGGCGGGTGCGTGGAGGCTGGGTGGTGCGGGTCTTGCGGGGTGCGCCGGATGTTGCGGTAGAGGTGGTGGGCGAGGCGGGCCTGTTTTATAAGAGGTTGGGGTTAGTATGCTGGTTTTTTGTGAGGGTGATGGAGAGGTTGTTGTGGTGGTTGGTTGATTGAAGGCGATGTTGTTTGTAGACTGCGCTGCGCTGCGAGGATGAGGGGGAAAGAGTGCATGCATGCACTTACATGCCAGACCAGAGGAAGATTCTTCAAATTGATCAGTGCAAGAAACAGGGCTAGTGCCTTCCAGGTGAGAAGAGATGAGATGCATTCCTGGAGGAGGTGGGAAAGAGTGGACAGGGAAGCCATGTTGACGGTAGTCGATTATCGCTAGCTAGCTAGCTATGCTATAGATCCCAGGTACCACCAATGGCAAAAAACAAGCTAGCGTCAAGGCGTCTCAAAAAGACAGGCGAAACTAACGACAATGCCGCCTGTGTGAAGAGAAAGAATGACAGTCGAAACCCTGCCGCCGCGAAAAAAACAGGTGCTCGTTCCCCTGAGAGATGCGATTCCCAAAAATGAGACGCGATGGAGATAACGTGTTAAGCCGAGGCACGTGGAGGTTTGATTGTGCTTATCTCATCCAGCCATCCATCCACCATCGACCAACCCATTATAACCATAAAAAACATAACAGCTTCATCTTCAGCTTCAACCTCAACCTCAAATCCAACCTAAATCCAACCTCTCCACTCAAAAAATAGCCATACAATTCGGCGGACTCGACACGCCCTGCGCACAATTCAATGGACTACTCGAGACAAAGAAGGTCCACCGCCCGAGCCGCCGACACATCTCGGCGAGCCCATCGAGGTCGAACATCTCGCCGATGGGCAGCCCCCACCCGGCCAGGAGGTAGTGATGGAGGTCCCACTCCGGCCGGAGCGGCGGGTAGACCTCGAAACTGACCGCGTCGGACGCGACGGCGGCGAAGTGGTGGTCCCAGAGGAAGCGCAGCACGCGCTCGCTCTGCTCGAGCCCCGCATGCTGCGGCGTCGGCTGCCGGCTGTACGCCGCCCTCTGCTCGTCGCCCATCGCGTCCCACGTGGCCGGCAGGCCCACGCGCAGGAAGAAGATGTCCCCGCGCTGGAACTCGATGCCGCAGTCCCGCGCGATCGCCTGCACCTCGTCCAGCGAGATCTCGTGCCGGCTGAGCGCGTCCACCGTCACCCCGCGCTGCTCCCGCGCCCAGCTGCAGTAGTCGATCAGCACCCCGCGGCCCGCGATCCCCTCCTTCGCCCAGTGGCCGATGCCGATGCGCGCGGACTTGGGGTCCAGGATCTCGGCCGCCGTCGTGCCACCGTAGAACACCTGTTCGTTCGCCCTGCCGGTCGTGGTGGTGGTGGTGGTGGTGGTGGTGGTGGTTGATGTTGTGCGACTACTGCTGTCCTCCTCTGTGCCAGCTGGCGGCGGCGGCGGCGGCGCACTATGGTGACGCAGTCCGTCCCATTGTGAGGATTGCTGCGGGTTGAAGTGATATTCGTCGTCAAAGGCAACGCCCTCCGCCACCCACTTCACTTTGTGTTCGAAGGGCTTACGCTTGAAGCCTGTGGGCCATGCGATGACGTAGTTAGTATGCGGCGTAAGCAGATAATAAGGTGATTAATTCTGGGTTTCAACTCCACGAGCCAGACACTAACCCGGAGGATTCAGCTTCTCGAGGTCCCAATTCAGACACACGCGTTCGCCAGTCCGGATTTGCGTTTGGGCAGCATTGGCGACGACCTCCGGAGTCAATAGTCGTAGCATGCCCAGTCCCTCTTCGCGCGACCCCGGCGCCGCCGGCCAGTATCGTCGCTTGTCCGGCAGGTCATCGTATTTCTCTGGGATGTTGAATTCCGACATCATAGATCATAGAAGGTCATCCAAGGTTTGAGGTAGCAGATGGTATACCAACAGGGAAGTAGTTTACAATCCGAAGAAGTGCGGAGACTTGAGAATTAAATGAGGGGGCGATATTGAGAAAGGCGGGGAATCGGACTAAGTCCGGGCGAGAGCCAAGCTCTAAACATGGACTGCGCGGTGTACAGTACATAAACAGCTCTTCAAGGCTGTGATATAATATCTATTCAGACAATGACAATACACAAATAATGGAATACAAGAATGCAACTGAAAGTATCCCCTCCCTCTCACAAGTCATCTTCATCCTCTTGCACACTCTGTCCTTGCTTGTTAAGACGGGACATCTCGTGCTGCTCACCTCGCCCAGCACCGCCCGGCGTCGACATAGCAATTGCCTGACGGCCTGTGTCGGACGACTCCAGGAACTCGCGCAGGCGTCTCTTGCCCTCCACCATGGCTTGGTTCGAGGCCGCCTCCGTCATTTTCATGATGGGGCCCCACAGATTAAGCTGATAAGTCACATATGCGCCCACTGCGCAAACAAACAGCAGGAAAAAGTAGGCGGGGTTGCGAAGCACTGTGGCTAATTAGCGATGATCTTTCGTACGCAACACAGAAATTGCACTTACCAGCAATGATCTCGTTCCAGCCGAGCGCGAGGAGGATACCGTAGAAATATAGCGGAACCTGCGTCATGCCCCCGATGGCACTCCGCTTGGCTTCGACATAGACTCCATCCGCCGCCTTCTTGAACCGCACCGTCAGTTCTTGGCGCTTGGCCTCGCTAAGCATCGTCATTTCCTCCTCTAGGCTCTTGCCTTCCTCCTCATCCACGCCTCCAATCGGCGGCAAGTCCTCCTCGTCCGCCGGGGTCGAAGAGCTGGGAGTGTGACCGATCCAGCGATCCAACGGAGGCGGGGCGGACGTCTCCTCGAGACGGAACCGGGCTAGAAGGGGAATAAGCGTGAGAGTCGACTCGCGAGCCCGCGTATAGATACCCTCTATGTCGTCGGTAGGGCGCCAGATCCGGGGGACACCAGCTTCGTCATAGCGGAATTTGTCCTCGAAGTTCTCGCGCAGCTTCAGCAGCAAGTTGCCCTCCAACATTTCTTCTTCAATCTTGGCCCGTAGCACGCCCCAGGACTTCCGGCGCAGCCGCCAAAGACCAACATCAACCTCCTCCAAACTGGCATCAAAGCTACTAGCGCGGTCGGTAAATCTGCGCTCGGCATCAAGGACCGTCTCAACAAACACATTCCAGACCCGGTCCCAGAACTTCTTCTCAACAGGCTTGTCCCCCTCTTCAGGTGCACCGCCGCCGGCGCGTCCAGAACCAAGCGCATTGAATTCCAGACCAACCGACTCTCCCAGACGAGACTGGACCCACCGCTCAACTCGAGTGGCCAGCCGCCGCATCTCCTCCCGCCGCAACCGTGCGCTGACGTCGGCCAGCTCTTTCTCATACAGCGACAGCTGTTGCTGGTAATCGCTCCAGGCAGTTCCCTCAACAACAGTGGCGCGCGCGACCTCCTCAAACTTCTGAATTGCCTTAGACACCTCTTCATTGACAATCTCTGCGAAGTCATAGCTAGTACCCTTCTTCTGACCCGCCTTGACAGTGCCGGAGACAGCCTCAGTGAACTCATTGATACCAGTCTTGTGCATGGCATCAAGTTGACCCTGGAAGAGCGCCTTGAGGCGAGTGTCAATCTTTTCCTCCAACTCTGCCTGTTTGCGCAGGTAAACACCCTTGTGGTAGCGGCTGGCCTCGGTCTCGAAACTGCTAAACGCTTTACTGCGAGATGTTCGCATGGCGGCTCCCAAACCACCGAGGATCTCCGGCTCACCGAGACGAGCCGCTTGCGACTGCTTATCCTCAAAGGGAACAATAGCCTCGTCGAAGGCGAGCATAACCTCCCGAAGAATTTCGTCGCAGCGGAATTGCGCTAACAATTCCTGCTGGGTTGGAAGGTCCAAGTCCTTATTGTTGACAATCTGGTCCCAGATGCCCTCCGCATACTTAGAGAAACCATCGGCGGGGATTCTGCGGTGGTACTCGGGTAGGAAGACGCCACCATCGGAAAACTCGCCTTTGCGGGGATCGAGACTCGGATCTTTGTGGTCCTCACGGAAACGCAAGCTGAGCTTCTTGGTCTCGGCAACAAACTGCTCAGGCTGGTAACTCTTGTGAGGGAGGCCGTAAAACTGGAAATCGAAGTAATCGTGGACGGACGACTGCTCCAAGCCGGCGGGCTTCGAGATCGAGTCCCACAGTCGCGACATATCTTCCATCAAAGTATTCTGCAGGTTCTTCAGGGGCGTATTGCCAACGAAATCACGGATCACAAAGAACAATAGAGATCGGTGAGTAGTGCTATATCAAACGAAGGGCAGTTAGCGCGTGTAACGGTAACCTGGTTCCAACAAAGGAAACCTACTTGCGATCCTTCAAGAACAGCTGCAGATTGACCTCAAAGACCGTCTTCAGCAGTCCCATGTTTGCGCCCTGGTACAGACCGACCTGGTGCTCCCAGATATTGACAATCAAGACTTCACTGGTCGCCAGCGCAAAGAGGGCGCTCTTGCGTTCGAAGTCCTGGTCTTCGCCTCTCTCGCGACCATCTGTACCCTCGACGTCCATCACCAGGATGTTATCCGCCATCGACTTGTCCCCGCCGTTCTTGTTCTTCGACAACCAAATACCCTTGGTCGTCTGGCGACGCTCCAGCTCGGACATGACCGAGAAATGCGTACCGAAGAGGTGGTTCAGTAGCGTGGATTTGCCCGTCGACTGAGACCCGAACACGGAAATGAGGTGATAGTTAAAACCCGCATGGGTGACATCTTCAAGACTTAGGTATTTCGATAGATTGGGACTGCAATGATTCTGGGGTTAGCCTACTGCGCCAGGTGCACGCCAGGTGGCATCGTCCCCTAACGAGAACAGCTTGGAAATCGCAAGCCCAAATGTACGTGAGATCGAACCACAGATTGCCACCCAGAAAGGCACTAGGGGAAGAATGGAATAGCATACTTGAACTCTTTATCGCCATCAATCACTTGCACGCCATGCTCGTACGCAGTCTTGTCGCTGCTGCCGTTGCCAAGCGAGGCAAAATGGCCGTTGGTCGCCATGACGGAATGACTAGCGTTGGTGCGGCGCGCCAGACGATAAAACTGAAGCGTGCTCTAGTCTGATATATGACTGTCTGTTTCGAGGAGTATGGGTGATAGTATGGCGAGTCGTAATAAAGCACTACTACCAGAAGCGCAAATAGAATAGGGAACGTCAGATGCGGAGACCGTGGCGAGAGGAGGAAGTAGTAGTACAAGATGAGACGAAACGGATTGAGGGCAGGATGCAAGGAGGGAACCGACAGTAAAATGAGGTCAGAAGTCGATCACCATGGGAGACGGGGAGCACAATCACAAGGCAAGAGAAAAAGAGAGAACGCCCCGCTGATCAGAGAGGGAGGGAGTTTAGTTCATGTGTTGTTGGGAAGCGGGAAGCGTAGAGTGGCTGGAGGTCAGGAGGAGAGAGCCGGATGGGGACCCTTTCCCTCTTCTTGTTTGGTCGGTTGTCTTGTCTAGTGGACTCGTCGCCTGAGCATCCAGGCCGCCACCGCCCACCCCCCGATCCCGGTTTTTGCTGCTTTGGGTTTAGGGGTTGTCAGTGATCCTGTCCGACCCAATTTATGGAAGACGAGGAGGTGGAGCCCATATTTTCATGCCCGTGCCTTCATAATTATGGATCGTACGATAGATCATTCCTTTACATGTTCAACGTCATGTTCAAACTGACATCCCTAGGCAAAAACAAGTAGAGAAAGAAAAGAATGAAAGAGAGGAGAAGGTATAACGAGTCTACAAACAATTCAAATACAATACATGATACATAGATATGTCTCGAAAACTCCGGAACTACCCACCATCACGAGTGAATCCAGTATTCCCAGATTCATTCCTTCGCTGATACCCGCGCCGCAAGGATGGTGCAAACATTATAAGAATTCCCAGACAAGATTTTGTTCATAGTACATGGTAGCCAGTCGGTCCCAGCTGTCTATTTGTCCAACACACGGGTAACCAGACCAGTGGCGACAGTGCGGCCACCCTCACGGACGTTGAAGCGCTGACCGGCCTCAGCAGCCAGGGGGCGGAGGGTCTTAACAACGACCTCAACGTTGTCACCGGGCATGATGCGGCGGGTCTGGTCACCGTCGGGGAAGCTGAACTCGGCAGCCTCATCGGCAGTACGGATGTACAGCTGGGGACGGTACTGAACACCGAATCCACTGCGACGACCACCCTCAGCCTCGGTCAGGACGTACATGGAGACCATGAACTTGTCGTGGGCACGGGCGCTGCCGGGAGCGGTAACGACCATACCACGCTTGATATCCTCACGGCGGATACCACGGAGAAGGAGACCGGAGTTGTCACCAGCGCGGGACTCGTCGCAGGACTTCTTGAAGGTCTCAATGTCGGTAACCTTGGTCTTGATGACCTCGTTGGTGGTACCGACGATCTCGACTTCACTATCCTTCTTCAGAAGACCACGCTCGACACGGCCGGAAACGACGGTACCACGACCGGGGATGGAGAAGACTTCCTCAACGGACATCAAGAAAGGCTTGTCAAGGTCACGCTGGGGAGTGGGGATCCAGGTGTCGACGGCCTCGAGAAGCTGGTCGATTCTCTCGGCACCAATGTCAGGGCGACGGTCCTCGATGGCGCAGAGGGCAGAGCCGAAGATGATGGGAGTCTCCTCGCCCTCGAAACCGTAGGTGGTGAGAAGCTCGCGCATCTCCAACTCGACGAGCTCCAACATCTCCGGGTCATCGACAGCATCGACCTTGTTGACGAAGACGACAATCTTCTGGACACCGACCTGACGGGCGAGCAGCAAGTGCTCACGGGTCTGAGGCCTGCGGAGAAACGAGTATGAGTACAATTCCATGACCAGAAACCGAAGGGCAAACATACATCTGACCATCGGAAGCAGCAACGACAACGATGGCACCGTCCATGTTGGCAGCACCAGTGATCATGTTCTTGATGTAATCGGCGTGACCAGGACAGTCGACGTGGGAGTAGTGGCGAGCTTCCGTGGCGTACTCGATGTGGGCAGAGGAGATGGTGATACCACGCTTGCGCTCCTCAGGGGCCTTATCGATAGAGCCATAATCGAGGAAGCTAGCAAGACCCTTGGTGGCCTGCTGCTTGGTGATGGCAGCACTCAAAGTGGTCTGGTTCGGAGTGTGAGAAGTTTTCGGGGCCAGATTGAGGAGAGGGAAGGGTGATGGGAGAGAAAGATTGTGCTAACCTTGCCGTGATCGACGTGACCAATGGTACCTGTTGAATATCTATTAGTATGAAAGCACGAAAGATCAATGAATCTGATGGAGAGAGCATACCGATGTTGACGTGAGGCTTGGTACGCTCGAAAGCAGTTGCCAGACCGCGGGCAGCCAGCTTGTCTTTGGCAAAGACATGCTGGATGGGGTTGACAGCACGGGGACGCAACATAGACGCCCGGCTGGAGCGCAGCAAGAGGTTGGCAGTTCTGGCAAGGCTCGACATGATGGCTACCTGCGATGGAAAAACAACAACAGGAAGGGAAACCAAATGGAACGCGATGGACAGAAATCAAAACCAGCCGGACCGGGAAGGTTTGGAGGAGGATCTTAATCAAGCCCGGAAAATTCTAGGGAGCGGCTGACTCAGCCTCAGGCCAATCATGCTCGCAGCATTGCGGAGTCGGCCAGGAACATCCCGCAAATACTCAGTAACTTGGAAGCATACAGTAGATACACCTGACCTCAGTCTGAGAGTACTGAGTACCATGTGGATAGCGCTTGTACAATTTCTAGGTGCAAAGCCTAGCTTGCGTTGTTGTAAGGGAAAGATTCATATAATACAATTGTATATACTGGCCGATTTACACAAGCGTGACCTTCTCTACCGGGGTAGCTGCATCAACAGGCTACTGGTCGGGCTTCTTCCTCACAGTAATGGTAACTGCCCGCCCTGGCTCTCCCTCCATGGGTTTGATTTGCATGCCATTGGCCTCCTTGATCGTTTCCACCACTTTGTCCATGAGGTTTTTGACTTCCTCCGCCGTGGGGGCTCGTTTGCCCTTCTTCCGCATCAAGACAACCTCCAACTTGAAGCCTTTGGTAATGAATTCGGTAATCTTCTTCAGGCGGTGGCTAAGATCATGGTTGTCGATAGCCCAGTTCAATTCTACCTGTTTGAAGGAGGTCTTGGTGACGTGGGCTGCCTTGGCTCTGGCACGCTCGGCCTCCCGCAGATCCATTTTGTTCACAACCTTGCAAACCGGCGGCGCGCCATCCGCTCCGTCGCTGACCTTGATCAAAAACTCTTTGGAGCGGTCGATGTTATTGAGGACAGTCGAGCGTCGAATTGGGGGGTCCAAAGTGTTGTTCTCGTTCACCATCTGGATCCATTCCGATACAATGGCCTCGTCTTTGATGAGTCTTGCCTCCTTCGATTCTGTTTTTTGGGAATCTTTACGGTTCCATTTCATTGTTCGAACGCCCATGGGTAAAGGCCGGAGGTATTGCGGTCGGATGAGGCGTTGAGGCGGAAAGAAGACCTGGCGCAGGACTTGCGCCGTCGAGAGGAGGCTGCGCATGTGCTTCATTTTTTTCGGCGCAGGAGTTGTTGCAGGAGTATGGACGAGCGCAATGTTGTGATCGGATGAACCCGATAAACCCGAATGAATGAAGTCAAAGAGCTGCAGAAGGATAAAGACCAGCTCAATCGTCCTGGGAGATAAAGGTGACGTAGCAGGCTGCAAGTGAATGACAATAATAATGACAATTTGGGATATGAGAATGGACGCATGCGGACAAAGTGACAGGAAGAGAGGAGGGAGGTTGAGGTTGACCGCCCACCAGCCACAATGACAGGCGCCACAATGGGCAGGAGACCAAAGAGAGAGAGAGAGAGACCCTGAAAGCTGAGAGGCTGAGAGGCCGAGAGGTTGATCGCCCGCGCTCTCATTTGCCTCCCCGTGTCCCATAGTCCACTCCCGTACCGTCCCTCTCTCTTCCTCTTCCCGACCTCCGCCCTCCCGTCTCTCCTCTTACTTTCTTTCTTTTCTCCTCTTCCTCTTCTCCGGACGACCATCACTTTCATACCTTCCCTTCGTTGTTCGACGTCCCTCCCCCACCCCCCTTTCACCCTATCCACGATCCTTTCGGGCCGGACCAGAGGTTCTTAGGGCGATCCTATGGTTTCTACTCACTCCGACCGCTAACTTCCATCTTTACTTCTCGTCCAACTCGGTCGGAGTTCAGGAACGTTGTCCGAAACGCCATAGCTTCGTCCCCCTGGCTTTGTCCGCATGTCGACTGGAGTTGACAGCCGACATCTCAAGGGTTTACCGTCTTTCTCTAAACCGGGTTCTAGAACTAGTCGACGTTCGATTTCGCGCACTTCCACCCCCGCAAAAGTTTCCGACAATCCGAATTATCTGGCCGATTCTAAATCAACCAACACTTTTTCAATGTTCGCCATGGCTCAGACGCAAAGAGCTCGTTATTTGAAGACCGGAGCGGTTGTTGGCTTTGTTCTATTAATGCTTCTATGGCTTTCGCCCTCCAAGCCCTCCGTGAGCCATTTTGGAGGATCCCGTAAGTCACTTTGTCCGCATCCGGAAATCCTATTGAGACTGACTCACTGGTTGTAGAGAAGCCATCGACTGGCGCACCCTCTTTGACTGAGAAGTGCACCAAGCCATACGACTCTTCCAAGCCCCTGATCCAGTATGCGCTCATGATCGATGCCGGTAGCCAGGGCTCCCGGATTCACGTCTACCGCTTCAACAACTGCGGCCCCACCCCCGAGCTCGAGAACGAGGTCTTTGAGCAGACGGAGAAGAGGCAAGGCGGCTCTGGCTTGAGCTCTTACAAGGAGGATGCTGAGGGAGCGGCGAAGAGTTTGGATCCTCTCATGCAGGTGGCCCTTAAGTCGGTGCCTGAGGAGTACAGGTCATGCTCACCCATTGCTGTCAAGGCCACTGCGGGCTTGCGCATGCTTGGCAATGAGATGAGTATGAAGATCCTTGAGGCCGTCAGGACCCGTCTCGAGACCGTGTACCCCTTCCCTGTCGTGTCGCGGGAGAAGGGTGGTGTCGAAATCATGGATGGCTCGGATGAAGGTGTTTACGCCTGGATTACCACCAATTACCTTCTTGGCAAAATTGGCGGACCGGACGAGACCCCTACTGCTGCCATCTTCGACCTCGGCGGTGGTTCTACTCAAATTGTCTTCCAGCCCACCTACCCCAAGAGCCCGTCTGGCGGCATGCCCGAGCATCTGGCCGAGGGTGACCACCGGTATGATCTTGAGTTTGGTGGTCGGCACTTTGAGTTGTACCAGCACTCTCACTTGGGCTACGGACTCATGGCTGCGCGGGAAGCGGTGCACAAGGCCATCGTCGAGGCCAAGCTTGCCGCCAGCCCCACTGACTTGGCCTGGCTGGATCAGCCTATCTCGAACCCTTGCATTGGGCCTGGCATGGAGCGCAAGGTTGACTTGTCTTTCGATGCCGGCCACGCTCTCGCCCCCAAGGTTAGCGTCAAGATGGTGGGTCCGAAGGAAGGATCCTCGGCTGCACCTCAATGTCGGGGTCTGACCGAGAAGATTCTCAAGAAGGAAGCCGACTGCAAGCTGGCCCCCTGCTCGTTCAACGGAGTGCACCAGCCCTCTCTGGCCAAGACGTTCGCACGGGAAGATGTCTATGTTTTCTCCTACTTCTATGATCGGACCAAGCCCTTGGGCATGCCGGATTCCTTCACTCTGGATGAGCTGCATCACCTCACCTCGACCGTCTGCGCCGGTAAGCCGGAGTGGAAGATCTTTGAGGGAATCGATGACGCTATTCCTCAGCTCCTCGACCGCCCTGAATGGTGCTTGGATCTGAACTTTATGCTGGGTTTGCTTCACACGGGTTACGAGATGCCATTGTCTCGTGAGGTCAAGATCGCCAAGAAAATCAAGAACAACGAGCTTGGTTGGTGCTTGGGCGCTAGGTAAGCCATTCGACCTGATCTAACTTTCATAAATTTTTGCTAACTTCTTCTTGCAGTTTGCCTCTCCTGAGCCAAGAGTCTGGCTGGACATGCCGAGTTAAGGAGGTGTCCTAATGGACGATAGTGATGCGGTCTGTATAATTAATCAATATCACATTTTTCTTCTGCCTTTACTTTTCTATCTCTTTTAAACAGAGTAGACTTGGGACTTCTTCATATGGTTCATGTATCAGACTTTTTCTTCGGCATGATTGTTTGATGTTTGCTTATCATTTGAGACTCGGTCGTAGTATTGTTTAGTCCAAAAATAGTCTATAAACGTAATTGTGGAGGTCAACACGAGAGCATGCCTCCGACCGCTTGATGTAAAAGCCAAGCAAAAAAAAAAAAAAAAAAAAAAAGATGTCCAATTCAAGGACACTAGGAAACCCGCACGAAGTAGCAAGATAAAACGTCCGACCCCAAACGCCCTCTTGCCATGCAAACCAAAAAAAAAGACCCGATCTCTACCCAGATAACTTTTCACAACCTTTTTTTTAATCGAAGGTCCACAAACAGAAAACATAGGATTCACTTCTCCAACTCCTCGATCGTGGGCTTCGACGCCGCCGCGGCCGCAGCATCCGTATTACCCATCAAGGTATCCAAGACCCCAGAGTCCTTAGGCCGCGAAGCCAGCACCGTCTCCTCGTTGCCCGGTGGCGCGGCGGTCGAGATCTCATCGTCTGACCGTTTCTCTTCCAGCACGCCGAGTCCGAGGTTCTAATCACAGCGAAAGTCAGCTTTCCAAAAATTCCCTCCGTAGAAAAGAAACGCAGCGTTACACAAGACGCCTGTGAGTCAGAGTAAGAGGAATGTGAAAACCCACCATCTCGATATACCGCTTCCCATCCTCCTCTCCCCCGTCCTCATCCTCGTCCTCATCCATCGCATCATCCAACCGGATATCCTTCGCCCGGCCGGCGGCGATATCGCGTTCGAGCTGCTCGTTGGCGGTCTTCATCTGCGGCAGGAAGGCTGATAGCCGGGAGAGGAGGTCGGGCGTCTGCTGGATGCGGTGGATGTTGGGTTTGGGAAGGGCTGGAATGCGGGGGATGGAGGTGTCCGCGGAGGCAGCAGAGGAGGGGTTGTGCGCGGGGCGCGGGGCGCGGGGCGGGGTCACGGTCGCGGTCGCGGGGACATCCTCCTCGTCGTTGTCGCTTTCTTCTTCTTCGCTGTCGCTGGGGCCGGAGGAGGAGGTGTAGTCGTCGCTATCGTCGGCGGCGGCGGCGGCGGCGGCGGCGCTATGGTGGGGAGGGCCGGCGGATGAATTTGTTTGACTGTCTGGGTTTGTGGTGGAGGATGCGACGGGATCGTCGCGGAGTGAGTTGGAGGAAGGCGCGCTCATTGTGATGGTTTGCTCGAAATGTGGTGGTTGTGAATTTTTTTTCTAAGAGGAGGAAAGAAGACGAATGGATGAATTCATGATTGACTGAAACTTGCGGGCGATCGAATTGGCGCCGAAGTGGGGGCGGGCGGGGAGGAAGAAAAGAGGGAAGGGAGGGAGAGGAAGTGTAAGTGTAAGTACTGTAACTGCCCCGTAACCTACCTTAAACTACAACTACAACAACAGGCAATCTAATCTAGTGCTGTGCTGCACAATGATGGCAGCAAGAGGGGCGCATGCGCTCACCAATCGCCAAGGCCTCTTTTCCGAGCGGCTTGATCGCCCTGCAGGCGATTCGACAGTCTGTCTTTCTTGTTTGTCTTACTTCTATGAGGAGTTACTTGGACTTAACTTCGTACTTCCCTTCCTTCAGACTCACTTTCCCGGCTGGCTGGTTGGCTTTGCTTGATCCATGCGCTGAATCCACTACACTCTCCCGCATTCAGGGGATGTTATCTATTCACTGCTCATTTGGTTCTCTGTTTTATTTCTCTTTCTAAACTGATCTCCCTCCTCTTCTTCACTGACAGAGGTCTTCATTGCTCCCGATTGTGGCTATTCTTCCCCACGACGAACTGTTGTTGTCCATCATCATCCCCACTTGTTGGCTGGCCAGATCTCGGAATAGATTCACTGTTGCTTACCATTTCAGGGTCAGTACCTTTCCCTGTTTCTTAATTTATCCCATGTCTTCTTTGTTCGCCACGGCTGGCCAGTACCAATAAAACTATTCTCGGACCCCAAACCCGTTGTTCTTTCATTCAAGCTCACATTCATACTTCTCATTGTCCTCCCTGCTCATCCCGGCGGTGCGGACTTTCCTCAGAACCAGCTGACCCCAAGTATAAGAGATTAATTATATCTCCCATACACAGCGCCAGCTACTTGATTTACCAGCGCTCCTTCATACGTTGCGCCTTGGCATGATCACCGGCTCTCTCACCTCTACCACGGAGCTCCTATCGTCCTAGATTCCAGCGTGGAACGAGCCGATCGATCTATACCATCCGAATCCAACAACCAAGAGAGTCCAAGATGCCCATCTCCATCAACAACACCACCAGTCCTCTCGAGGAGATGACCAAGGTCCAGCAAACCATCAAGCCGGAATCCAACCCCGCAGCGACCTCCCCCTCCTCCGCGACGACCCGCAAATCTCTCCACCAGAACATCTTCGGCAAGCTGCGGCCCCTCCCCTTCCAGTACCACTGGGCCGTCTGGTACGACAAGCACACGGACGCAACCAAGGAAGCCACCGCCCAGGACTACGACTCACGCCTGTACCTCCTGCACGAGGACGTCTCCGACATCGCCACCTTCTACCGCGTCTACAACAACTATCCGTGGGACAAGGTGCGCCTGCGCGACACCGTGCACATCTTCCGCAAGGGCGTGCGGCCCGTGTGGGAAGACCCGGAGAACCGCAACGGCGGGTGCTGGCGTTTCCGAGTGCCCAAGAACAAGGCGCAGGAGTTCTTTCACGAGATCGCGATCCTGTGCATGGCGAATGAGTTCCAGGCTGTGTTGGAGAAGGGTATGTTTTCTGTTAGCTGCTTGCTCCTTCTCCCCCTTCCCGCTGCCCCGCTCCCCCCGCCCCCAGCCTCCAGCCTCCAGAACCCGGCTCTGAGATATACTTCCTAATAAACATCAACTTTACAGTAACTATGCATGTTATAAATACACTAACCAAAGACCCCTAAAACAAACAGAACACGACCACGTCCTCGGCGTCTCCACGTCCGCGCGCTTCAACTCCAACCTCATCTCCGTGTGGAACAAACTCGGCGACAACGAACACTCCATCAAGGCCCTCGAGCAGACCATCCTCGACCGCCTGTCGCCCGAACTGCGTCCCACCGGGACCGGCTCAACCGCCTACTTCTACAAACGGCATGCCGAGAACGACGGCTTCACCGAGGCAGTCGAGAAGGCGAGTACGGTGACGTGAGGTAACCTTCGCCAACTTGGTTTGGTCGCAGTTACTTATCTCATTGTTTGATCTTCGCCTGCTTCACTTCGACTTCAATCACCACCCAACTCTTCTTTCTTCTTCATGTCTTCACAAAGTAGCCAGTTGGCGTTTGTATACTTCTCACATCTCTTGTACTTATGTACCCTAGCATTGCAGAGCTCGGGCTTTTTACTTCTTTGCCCTCGCTCGAGAATGCATTATTCAGCCATGTGAATTCGGAACATAGTTTTATTTCTCACAGAACAAAGTTCTGCCCCCAACCCATCATGAAATCAAATCCTGAATCAGTAATGAATAAGGTATCTCCCGTATACCCCGGTAATAGGTAAAATGAAGACAATGCACCGCTCATTCACCCAGCAATCCCATATTGTACTCAACCCAACCCAACCCAACCCGAGATTCTGTTTCTTTTGGTTTCCCCCCTCAAACCCTATGCCACCCATCCTATCAACGCCAACCCATGCGAAGAACGAAAATTGCAAATTGCCCACGTGAAATACAAGATATAGTTACAATGGAAGGCGGCAGAATCCGACCTTCCAATCCCAGATCCCAGATAGGCATAGGACTCATCTATTGCGGCCGGAGCTCTGCCGCCTGGGACCCTGCGGGGGAGGAAGAGAAGCAGAAGCAGAAGAAGGGCCCAGCGGAGGCTGCAGCGGCCGCCGGTCGTCCGTCCGGGGAGTCGTTGCCGCTGTTGCGGATGCGGATGTGGACGCTGTTGCGGACGCTCCTGCTGGTACTGCTGCGGGTGTGGACTCGGTCGTCTCCGACGGCCTGCGCTGTTGCTCGGCGCTTCCACCCCCACCCCCACCCCCGGGGACATAGCGATCGATCTCCACGAAGCGCGGACGGTCGTCGCGCTCACGCTCGCGCTCCTTCTCGGTCGACCGTTCGGGGGACCTCACGCGGCGCCGTGGGGACCGGCTGCGGTTGCTGGTCGGGGGCACATAGCGGTCGATGTCGAGGGTGCTGGGGGAGCGGCGACGGCTGCGCGAGCGACGGGCGCGGGAGCGTGAGCGTCGGCGGGAGGAGACGGACACTCGGGCGGATTTTTCGTCCTCGCGCGGCGGGCGGTCTCGCGAGCGATCGGGATTGCGTCCCCGGCTATGGTGGTGGTGGTCGTTGGTGGTGGTCGTGGTAGGGTTGCTGGTCGCAGCGGTGGTGTGAGGGTTCATGGGGGTTTTGGTCGTGGTGGTGGTGGTCGTGGTAGGGGTGGCGGTGGTGGTGACGTTGCCATCGCGGTCACGCTCTCGATCGCGATCGCGATCACGATCCCGATGCCTGTCTCGCTCACGATCACGATCATGGTCGCGGTCTCGATCGCGATCGCGATCTCGATCCCTTTCTCGATCTCGATCACGGTCCCGGGTGTCTCTTGTGTCTCTGGCGTCTCTCGTATCCCTGGCGTCCCTCCTTTCTCTGGTATCCCTGTCCTTGTCCCGGTCGCGGTCACGGTCTCTTTCGCGATCCTTATCGCGCTCTCGATCACGCTCCCGATCCCGATTTCTGTGTAAAGACCGTGAGCGGGATCGAGATCGATACCGTGGACGAGAGCGGGATCGAGAATAGTAGCTGTGTCGTCGGCGGTAATCGTCGCGATCGCGAGCCCTATCCCGGTCTCTTTCTCTCTCACGGTCCCTGTCACGGTCTCTGTCGCGATCTCTGTCTCTGCGATCCCGTTCCCTTTCTCGACTGCGATCCCGACGATAGTCGTGATCACGATTCCTTTCGCGATCCCGATCCCTCTCTGAGCTTTTCTCGCGGTATCGCGGGCGCTCTGCAACCTGATCTCGATCTCGATCTCGATCTCGATCTAAGGTTCGAACGGTCGAGCGGCTTCGGCTGCGACGACTGGGCCGGTAGCTACGGTCACCGTACCGATTTTCACGATAGTTTCGAGGAGGCGCTCGGTCATCGGAGTCGCGCCCGCGAGACATACTCGACACATCCTGTGACGGGTTCCGGCGGTCATCTTCGACCCGGGGCGGAACTCCCCTCTTTCTCGAGCGGCTGCGGCTCTCATCACGTCGTCGTGGCCGTACGCGGTCATCTACGGAGCCGCGCCGCTTCACCGCCTCTCCTTCGGTAGGGATACTGCCCGCGCGCGTGGGCGTATTTGAGTATCTTGAGTCGGGTGCTTTGGGTCCCTTTGGTGGTTTGAGTCCGTTTTCAATCGCTTCAGCTTCCTCGAAATCGAACTCGGGCTTCTGTCGGGCTTTCGCAGCGAGCTCCTCTCCCTCCTTCAACAGCATTTGTAGCGCAGCCTCTTCCAGAGACTTCTCGTCAACAGGGGCTGGAGGCGGTACAGGGGCCGGCGTGGGTTCTTTGGGTGTCGGCGATTTCTCTTTCCGAGTCTCGCGATGGCGGGGAGAATGGCCTCGTTCGGAGCGGTAGCCGGGGGAGCGATCACGGAAGCGAAAACGATCTCGGTCTCGGTCGCGGTCTGAGTCCCGGTCTCTGGTTCGACTGCGATCCCGCCAATCGCGGAATCTCTCGCGCTCTTCCCGACGGCGGCGTTCGTATCGTTCCTGGCGCTCCTTCTCTCGTTGCTCGTCCAGCTTGCGCTGCTCTTCCCTGCGTTGCTCCTCGCGCTCCCTGCGTCTGGCCCGTTCCTCTTCCTCCTTCTGGCGTTCGAGCTCGCGTCGCTTGCGGTCCTCTTCCGCCTTCTTGCGCGCTTCCTCTTCCTCAGCTTCCTTTTCCTTCCGCAATGCTTCCTGGTAAGCTCTCTCGCGCTCATCGCGCTTAGCCTGTATGTAGTTCGCATAGTCCTCGTCAGTCTTGTTACCTGCCTTCTCTTCCTCGGCAGCGGCCTCCACGCCGACTTCATCGCGGCGGATCTCCCGCACAGAATCCAGAATTGTCTGTAGATGATTCGAAGCGAGCGCATCCAGCGACTTCTCTACCGTCTTGTAGACGTCGCTCCGATCGACGGCGCCCTCGATAAGAGTCGCGGCCTTTCCGCGCTCCCGCGACAACAGTCCAGGTTCGCGATCAATCTCCACTTCCGCAAGTTCGGCGAGGAGGTTCGTAAATTCCGTTTTGCCTTCCTACATGAGCGCGCACAGGAGGGGGGGGGGGGCGCGGAATTAGTCAAACAGAAACCACAATGAGGACAAGAAAGAGAAAAATAAAAACGCACCCCTTCCTCAAACTCCGCCCATATCTTCTTGCGCACATTATCGAAGCCACCTCTCTTCTTGAATGCATGTAGAAGATGCTCGATCGCGGCGTGTTGCGCAGCGGTCAAGGGCAATTCATCGGTTTTAAACTTCTTGCGCTGGAGGCTGTCAATGTCCAGGGGTCGCTTCACACCCACGGCGGCGACGGCAGCGGCGGTGGCATCATCACCAACAGCTGGGGCCAACACATCTGCCGTCTCCTCCAATGGACCGGCCATCGCGGAGAGTCGGCTGGGTATCCGATGCGCGCGCAGCTGAGACAGATCTTAGATTGGATAGCGGGAAGTAAATCCGTGCTTGAATAGAAAAGTTCCTAAGTATCAAGAAAGACAAATCATCAATGAAACATGGGGGGAAAGGAGGTAATCAAAAAAAAGTTGCGCTCGCATGGAGCGGGCGCGTTTGTTGAAGGGCCAGGCCGTCTCGTCTCTTCCCCGAGCGGAAAGAACAGCAATCGGATAAATTCCTTGCCCGATCACCCGCACCCCGATTGGGAACTGCGGCCCCGTGATTCGACGCAACAACTGAACCTCCGTCGATGAATCCCGGCGTCCCTCCACTTTCCAGTATCCGTTGGATTCGAGCCCAAGTTCAGTCGCAACGTCACTTTCGAGCGCGGTCCCCGTCTCTTCTCCTCTGTGTGCCGGAAATTTCTACGCCCTAATCAGCGCAGATACAATTTTTGCAAAACCGGCCCATTCCGATTACCGCCCTCCCTTTCCTCGCTCCACATCTACCTCGCAAATCATGGTTCACAAAGTCCTCTTCTGGGGTGGTTTCGGTATGTTATCCCCACGCAGACCGCTCTTGAAAGCCCTCAGTTGGACGCGGATGCACTACGTTTCGCCGTCGTCTCCGAATTCAATCAATTGACTCAATCCCCAAAATGCAGGCATCGCCGTCCGCCTCTGGCAACTCGGCATCGAAATGCGGCCCATCCTCGCCCGCGAATCCCTCTGGGTCTACCCGCTCTTCGCCGGCGTCGGCGGCAGCTTCGGCTACTGGCTGCAGGGCGTCGAGGAGCGCCAGCTCCGCATACTCGCCCAGCGCCGCGAGCAGATCCTCGAGAAGCGCCGGCGGAGGGATGATCGCGAGAACGGCACGTTGAACCGGGTCGAGGAGAGTGTTTTGGCCGCTGCTGCTTGAGCTGTCCGGTGCTTGAAGAAAGAATTTGAAAAAAGCAAAGGAAATACATTGCTTCCTGTGTGGGTGGGGGGAAACGTGAGGGGGTTGTGGATTGTGTCGTGTATATCTGGACTGGGTTCTTTATGCTTGTGTGTGGTGTCTTTCTCCTTTTATCGTGTTATAAATTTTATGCCTTTTATATTCATGTTCCTTTTTTACTGCCTGGGGGAGGGGAAGGGGGGTTGGAGTCGTATAAGGGTTCTTTGGTTGCGGCGGGGGAATGGGGTCATGGTCATGGTCTTGGGTTGATGGTATAGGTGATGTGTAGTATGGGGAGGCTTAGCTGGTGAGCGTTCACATGGGAGGCAGGGAGGTGGTCATATTGTGTGGTTTTTGAGGGGTGCAAGTTGGGAATGTGTGACCTATTCTATATCCATGTCCATCTGCGGTGTATAGGAGATTCATCACCCGGATTGAAAGCAGAGGTTTCATGCACGTTGGTCTTTCAGCATTGGAGCTCTGGTTTCACCATGTCCCAGTGGAGGCACACTTAATCACCCCCGGTATATAACTTTAACCGAAAATGGTTGCATTTCCAGTAAAGAAAACGAAGTATGTCCAGTCCATAATGTACATCATATCAATTACACACGTCACGCCTTCTCAACTGCAAATTGCAACGACACCTCCCACTTCTGTCCCCCCGTCCCGTACCCCCCGCCCAGCCGATTCTTGATCAAACTGGTGATCCGCTCACGCAGCCGCGCCAGATTCTCCTCCGGGCCGGACACGCGAAGCTTCAGATTCGCCATGCACAGACCGTAGTGCACCTGCCAGAATCGGGCATCGTCGACCCCACGCACACAGGGATCCGTTTCGATGTCGCGCATAACGTCCGTGACACCCTGGCCCGAGTACGACATTAGCAGCATCGACCCCAGGGTCTTGACCAGGCGCACGCCGATGACGCACATCGAGATGGAGATGGTGCCAGACAAAAGCACGTCGAGCCATTTGTACAGTTTGATGGAGACGAGCGGCAGCAACAATAGGAGGGACGAGCAGGAGAGAGTCAGGAAGTGGGAGGGGTTGCTGAGAACCGACGGCAGCGATTCGATATACCCAAAACGCATCGCCTTGCCGATGCGGCCGTGGTTCTTGAGGCCAATCGCCGAGACGAGCGTAGACACGATGGCGAGCAGCGCCGTGAAATCCACTCGTCCCAGTGACACGCGTTCGTGCACGTGAGAATGGTGCGGCTCGTGGCCGGCGGACTCGAGGAAATGCTGCAGATTGTGCGAGATCAGGTCCATACCCATGAAGAGCAGGAGCACACACATGGCGAACCCGGCGAGCACCTCGGCTCGTTCGAGCCCGAAGGGGTGGCGCACGCTGGACCGCTTCCACACCTCGAAATTGCCTAGGATGTCCACCGCGACGCAGAGGAGAGCTCCGATGGAGTCGAACAGGATAAGATGCGACAACGCCGTCATAGCCAGGGAGCCGTGCGCGCTCCACAGAGTATATGCCGCGACGGACATATGACACAGGCTCCACCAGAAACGGGTCGTCTGGTCCTTAGACATACTAGATCGGTATTCCTTGAACGTAGGGACAGGTAAGGAGTTGGGCAATGCTAGCGGGGCTCGAGGTGGTGGCTCGAGGAAGATCTGATGCGATATACTACTGTGCTTGTACTTATGTCCGCGCCGCTGTCCGATATTCTATTTAACATAGGCAAGGGCAATCAGGACCATGAATCATACTGTTTACTATATTGTGGGAGACTCACAGACTTGACAACGGGGCTCTTGGCCATAGTGGTTGTCTGGAAATTGAAGGGGCCGGCCGACACATTGTCGCTCTGATCGCCTGGTGATCGAGCACTGGCTGGACTGAGGTTGAAAGCAGCCCTCGTCGGGCTCAGGCGAGTGGGATCATTGACATCTAAAGTACTCCTGGAGGGAGTAAATGTATCCCTCAATGGGGATAGCGAGTCCTTGTCGTAAAGGGTAGAGGATGGCTCGAACGCGCTGGTAGGGCCGTCATCCACGGGCGGAGTCGGGGTACGCGGAGGAATAGGGATGGGGAGATTCGACGCCATCACGACAGTCGCTGAAGAATGGGGCGCCGGCGCCGATCGATCTGAAGGGATACGCAGGTCACCTCGTAGGCAGCGTTACACCGACCGGAACTCAATGGAAGGGAGAAAAACAACACGGCGCAACCGCGGAGAGGGATGAAAACCAAGCTTCCAGGGAAGCAGGGAGGCTGACAATCGGGAAGGGGAAGAATGTCGCCCGGCGGTTGTGAAGCCGGGCGGAAAAGGCGGGGGAAACGGGGCGGGCCTCAGGCCTCGACTCACTCAGCGCATCATCGACTTCCGCCCGCTTCCCCATTTCATCATCTTCCCATCTTCCATCATCATTATCACTATCCCGTTGTTTGGTTCCTCAAGAGCTTAATGACCAGCTCTAAATGAGTGTCGCTTGTTCTGGCCATAGATTGGCGATGCGACACAAAGTGACTTGAGTATTTCTATTGATCTTCAAGAGATCCGCCCCCTCTCCAACTCCGATGCCTACATCCCCTTGGCATCTATGGATCACCGCGGCTCCTTTTTCTTCTTTTTGTTCGTCCTATATCTTCTCCTGAGCTCGCAGTCTCGTTCGCCCTTGGTATCTCAAGATGGGGAGCATCAGCGGGAACTGGAAAGGGAGCGGAATGCCCTTCGCCTCTTGAACGAGACTCAATATGGAGATTTTGACCCGGGATCCGATAAATGGTTGCCTTTTCCAGGCGTCCGTAAGAACGACAGTTATGCCTGGGATCTTCTCCCCGATGTTCAGGACAGAGCCCGGTCTCAGTTGCGGTCTGTGATGACTGAGGCAGGCCTCCGACCTCCCAAGTCCCTTGCAGTGTCTGACGCACTTTCGGATCTCAACCTGACGCAACTGTCGCTGCCGGTCTACCACAATGCGACAGGGAAGCTGCGCGGCGAATGGGTGCGCCGCAAGCAGGACAAGCCACATACTCCCCTCAACAAGACTGCTATCATTCAAGAAAACGAGTACTTCACGCATGAGTTCAGCCAGAATGTCACCGGCAACAGTGGCACATTCTACCTCGATGTACGTGAAGGAGGCGGACAGGAGCTTCGGTCGTCTTTGGGCCATGTCCGGGAGATCCGAGCCACACTAGCTGTGGAAAGTGGTGATTTTTGGGGCAATACCTGGTATCTCTCACTCATTGGTATACATTTTCCAGAGACTGGCGGTATCATCCTGAGCACTACTAGCGAAAAATTTGGGGGCCTCCTCACCTTGCCACATCTTAGTCTCTCATCTGATGCATACAATCTCACTCATGAGCTTCTCATCAAATCATTATCGGATACCATTTCTGAGAAGCAGAACAGGCCTCCTACTCTTTTCCCTTGGTCCTCCTTAGCGGGCAGTGAGCATATGGAGTTTCCTGCGCCGAGATGTGAACACATCGTTTACCTGCAACAGCACCCACTCGCAATCCATGGCTATCTAGCCGACAAGGCGGTGATTGAGCAGATAGAGCAGGAATTGAGATATCCCATTGGGGCGCCAATCCCGTCACCCCCTTTGATGGTCATGTCAGCCGTGGTGTTCTCTCCTGATTGCGGATACATCCTAGAGACCAAGGGCGCGCCTGAATTCCCACCCACGGAGACGTTGTATCTGTCCGGTCCAAAGATAGAGGAATTCGCAAAGTACTCAGCTCGCATGATCTTTGTTATGTCGGCCGTCTCCGTTGCTCAAATCGCGTTGCTATTAAGGCAAGTGAAGGAAGCCTCGACGCCTTCCACTCGGAGTCGTATCAGTTTCTACACGATGGCTCTGATGGCCTTCGGAGATTCTTTTGTCCTCGTCTTCATTTTTCTGGAACTATACCCGGTGGTATCGTTCTTGGTTATGACGACCGCATCCTTCCTCACCTTCCTTTCGGTCAGTTACATCGGAATGAAGTTCATGATGGAGATTTATGCCATCCAAGCTCCAGAACGACGGGAGCAGGAGCGCCGGGCCCCCGCAAACGCCCGTCCAGCAAATCTGCCACTTCCTGCGACGGCTGCCCAGGTCAGAGACTCCGGGGCAACCCCGGTCATATTGCCTCCGGATCAGGATGCTCCGGCTGATGAAGACGCGCCAGCCGCCAATCGTGGCACTGCACAGACAGCGCGGGACGCTCGAAGTGATTTGGGAACCATGTATGCACGGTTTTACTTCATCCTCTTCGTGATGCTTATCATATCTATCTGGGCATTCCTTTGGCCAAATCGACTCGGAGCTATTTATGCTCGAGTACTCGGGTTTATCTATCTTTCTTTCTGGACGCCTCAAATCTACCGCAATGTCATGCGCAACTGCCGCAAAGCACTGCGATGGGACTTTGTGGTCGGCCAGAGCTGTCTCCGACTATTCCCATTCCTCTATTTTTTTACCGCCCGTGGCAACGTGCTTTTCATCCGACCCGACGCGACGACGGCTCTCTCTCTGATCGGCTGGGTCTGGATCCAAGTCTGGATCCTCGCGAGCCAGGACATTCTCGGTCCGCGCTTCTTCGTTCCCCGCGGATGGGCGCCTCCTGCGTACGACTACCATCCGACCCTGCGTGATAATGTCGGGTCGGGCGACGATCTGGAGTCTGGGGGTGTGCTCCCGATCGGGGCGCTGCGGGCCGACGAACGCGAATACCCCAGCGAATCGAAGGACGACGACAAACATCGCTCGAGAGACCGAAAGAAGGCGGTGTTCGACTGCGCCATCTGTATGCAGGAGATCGAGGTGCCCGTTCTTACGTCCGGTGGGGCGGGCATGGCCGACGGAGCGTCGAACATTCTCAGCCGGCGCACATACATGGTCACGCCCTGCCGGCATATTTTCCATAGTACTTGTCTGGAGAGCTGGATGCGGCTCCGACTTCAATGTCCGATTTGCCGCGAATCCATTCCCCCGGTGTAGAGTGTATGTTAGCGTCCGCAGCGTTTGTGTCGATAGCCACGTATTATAGACGCCCCGACAATGTTAGCAATGCAAACTAGCTTATTCATTAGAACTACAGTTTTGATATAGTAACCTCTTTTGATTTGATATATCCTGTAAACCCTTGGTTGAATGTTGAATACAAGGTCGAACCCATTGAAGACCAAGCAGCCACGCTAGGTCAATCACCCACCCCCTCCCCAACCCAGCCCATCGTCATCAAAACCGACCGAAGCCGGATTGGAATCAACCCACCGCGCATCATCATCATCATCATATCTATAAACCCAATCAAATCCACGTTGCATCCCGCCGAGACGCAACATTATCCCAAAACATAAGATTCCATCCCATAAGAAAACCGCAAGCATGAACAAGTGTAAAAAAAAAATCAAAGACGAAAAACCCCCCCCTCGGGCCCCTCCCCTAAACCCATCACATTCTTATGGAACCAGACTTAGTGATCCTCCGCCTCGATGTGCGCCTTGTAGGCGGCCTCATCCAGCAGGGAGTCCAACTCGGCGGCGTCGGCGACCTCGATCTCGGCGATCCAGGCCTCGGCCTCGGGGCTCTCGTTGATGAACTTGGCCTTGTCTTCAAGGATGGCGTTGCCGCGCACCACGGTGCCGGCGACGGGCGAGAGCACGTCCGAGGCGGACTTGACGGACTCGACGGCGCCGACGGGCTCGTTGGCGCTCACCTCCAGCCCCTCGGAGGGGAGCTCGACGTAGACGACGTCGCCGAGGGAGTGGGCGGCGTAGGCGGTGATGCCGATTTTGGCTGGAGTGAGGGGGGTCATTAGCTTGGGTGTTTGGGGGGTTGGGGTGGAAGGAAGAAGGCAGGGACGGTGGGGGGGGGGAGAGAGTTAGGGACACAGAGGGAATGAGGACGATGAGGTTCAAGGAGAGGGGGAGCGGAAGGTAGACTCACCCGTCTTGCCGTTATCGGCCAGCTCGATCCATTCGTGAGACTCGGTATACTTCTTCAGTTGCCCTGTGTGGGTTGATGAGGTCGGTCAGCCACCACTATTTTCCAGGACATTGTATTTTGTTTTTGTGGGAAAATGAAGACCAAAGCATGCGGAGGCTTCAATAACCCCCTTAACACAGCCATCGGAGGGAGAATGCGTACAGAATGGGCTCTGGGAGAAGCTCCGGACACTTCCCCGCGGGAAACTGACGGGGGTCGCCCTGCGGACGGCGGAGAGGGGGAGCTTCTGCGCGAGGAAGCGCGAGGCGACGGGACGGAAAGAACTGGCGAGAGCAGACATTGTGAATGGCAATTGAGACGGTAGGCGCAGCGAAGAGCGTGGTGAGGCAAGTCGGAGGGTGTCAGGAAGAAGAGCAAGAGTTGGGTTTGTGTGGGGGAAGAGGGAAGGGAAAAGAGGTTAAATACTAAAGGGCAGGAAGGAGTAGGAAAGCTAATGACGGAGATGACGAGCACTTCCCGGAGCTAGGCTAGTCTACACCTAGTGGTGTACTGATAACGGGCTCGGGCTGCCAAGCCGATTAACTGATAAGCAAAAAAGCATTGCGGGCGCGCGGCCCGGAAAAATCTGGTTCCCTTTCCCTGTTCAGATGTTCCCGGGCTTGTTGTCGACTCTCCGCTTGTCCCTTTCGTTGGTCCCATTGTCCAGGTCCAGAACAAATTGCTTCTCCGCAGATTTACCGCTGTCATGTTGTACGAGCTGATTGCAGTAGTATGTGTCTTTCATCCTCGTGGGAATGGAGAATTGTGGCTAATATCATACCAGGTCCGCCCCGGCAGCCTCCACGAGGTCCGCGAGTACGTACCGACTCAACTCCCTCCCCTACACTCCCCTACAGCCAGACTTTCATCTCAATGTCATTCCTCATTCAGTCTCCTCTGTCTCGATATTAATCATTCAATAGTATCGCCCGGAATGCCGGCGTCCAGGTCCTGCGCGCCGGCGGCGTAGTCCGCGGCTACACCAACTGGGGCACCTTCACCCTGCCCCGGCCGACCACGAAGCACCAGGCCCGCTACCACGAAGGTCACCACTTCATCATGCGCTTCGACTCCTCTGGTGCTGTCCAGCAAGCCGTCCTGCGCACCCTCGGTCTCGATCCCCGTATGATCCGCTTCTCCGTGGTGAAGCTGGGCGACAAGCTGGAGGAGATCAAGGACGTGGAGGGCAAGGTGGACTGGAACAAATACCGCCCGCTCACCGACTCCATCTGATCGATGGTGTGGAATGGTTAATTTGCACTTGTTATTGATGTTCGCGACGAGAAACAAAAGAGCCGGGTGATCTTCGTTTGGGTTGCCCCCGTGGCGCAACGCGTCTAGATCGTTATTGTATCATATTTGGGATGGGTGTTCTTTTCTTTTTGCTTTTGTGTCTTTGTTGTATATCATATCAGCATCGTTGGCGCATATACCTGAACTGGCAGATTTTCGGCCAATACCGATGGCGAGATCAATTCATCTGAGTTTGCTTGTGGGCTACAACTACTCTCTTGTTCTGGAGGGGAACCTGACATTTGGGCTGGTCGTGGGTGAAGGTGCGTTGAGTGCAAGGCTAGTTGATCTCAATCGGTTGGTTGGGCGGCACTACCGTTTGTTTGGCAGGCTGTCGGCAAGCTCTCGCCGGGCTGCAGTAGTGGACGATCGGTGCATCAATCAGTCTCCATAACAAGTAGGAGGCACGACCCTTGAAGTTGAAACAGCGAGTTCTGGACTTGCGAATCATGTGAGAAAGATTCCGGAGTAGGGAGTGTAGATTGGCCGCAGATTATGCCGCGTGCAAAAGCGCAACGGCATCTTCAGCCGAGGTTAGCTCCGACATGCGTCGGTTATGATGCAGTCCAGGAACGGAAGACGCTTAATTAGCCTCAACAATAGCAGATCCCCCTCCTCAACCTTCTTCGTCCAGGTGGTCCCATTCTTTTTCAAGTCAAACTCCTCAGTAGTAACACCTCACATGCACATATCTTGGTCTTGTGCCGCCGTCGCCTCTCATCCGCACCCACCGTAACCCTCGAATCGACAGGGATCAGGGATTTGTCTCCGAGAATATACTGTACATACCATCCATCACGAGCATCAAGTGCCACCACATCTCTAGGATCTCATTCTTTCAACTCTCTTCTATCTTATAAAATCAAGCCGAGACCAAACGAAACTACAATGCTAGAGCTCTCCTACACCGAAAGCCCCTCCTCCTTCGCGGAGCTGATGTCCCTCCGCCGTCTGCACGTGGAGAAGAGCCAAATCCCCTCGGCGAACAGCCCGGAACATATCGAACGCTTCCAATCGCTGGCACCACCCTACCCACCGGGCGAAGCAGGCCGGGCATTCGGCGGCCACGTCTACGCCCAATCGGCCTACGCCGCCTCGCAGACCGTCGAGAAAGGCTTCCTCATCCACGTATGTATTCCACTGAGCACTCCCCCACCCTTCCCAAAACCCCTACGCCCTGTAGACCAACCCACTTACCAAATCAAAGAACGTAACCGGCACCTTCATCCTCCCCGGCCGACTAGACATCCCCTACGAATACACGGTGCGCCACCTCCGCGACGGCAAAAGCTACTGCACGCGCGCCGTCGACGCCCGTCAGGCCCACCAGATCTGCTTCTCGGGTCTGGTCTCGTTCAAACGCGCCGAACCGCCTGCCGCAGCGCCGTTCGCGCACCAGCCCGTCTCCGCCCAACAGCGCTACGCCGAGCTTCTGGCCGGGAAGAGACCCCAGGACTTTCCGGTCCAGCCCGGCGTCGACGCGGACTTCTACATCGATCACTGGCGCGAGCAGTGGGAGAAGCACGGGATCCCGGAGCGCGAGTTCCCCGGGCTGGAGGCGCGGAATGTGGATATGCGCGGGTTCAACCAGAGGGAGGAGGTAACAGGTCAGCCGGATCGGTATCGGCAGTTGACGTTCTATAAGCTCAAGGGGCTGCCGGGGGATCAGCCTGTTTCTGTGAAGGAGGAAGAGGTCAGGGTGGGGGAGGTGAGGCGGAGGGAGAGGGCAGGCGAGTTCGATAATCTGTATGCGTGCGCGCATATGTATGCGGCGGATAAGAACTCGTTGCTGCTGATCCCCCGCGCGTTGGGAATGAAGGTGTGGGATGCGCTGGCCAGTTTGACGCTGACGGTTGTGTTTCATGAGCTCGGGGAGGCGGTGCGGATGATTGATTGGGATGCAGAGGGGGAGACAGAGGCTAAGGAGGAGGGTGGGCTGTCCAAGAAGTGGTTTATTCAGGAGGGCTGGACGCCTAGGTCCGGGGATAGTCGCGCGATCCATGAGAGTTGGTTGTGGTCGCCGGAGGGGAGGTTGGTGGCGACGAGTTATCAGGATGGTATGTTGAAGGTGGCTCGGGCTGATAGGGAGAAGTTGTGAGGATGAGCTGGTTGTGAGGGTTGCATAGATCTATTCTTTGTATGTTCTGCGTATAGTCGGGCCATGGTATATATAGTTGGTGTAAAGAACACCCCAGCATTTTTTGACTTACGTTATCTAGAAAAGAGTCAATTCCTGCGAAATGGTACCAGTTCTATATCTTCAATATCTCTTCAACTTATTAACCGTTATTCAAAGTCCTTGCTCTAGGCATGAATAATAAATCGGAATATGTGCCTTGGTAGAAACATAGTAATCTGCTGCAACCGCGTTCCTGTTTTAAGAAAAAGAGATAGGCGCAGGAAAATAGTAGTGAGTCCTAAATGATCAGGTCAAGCTGCTAGATGCGGAATCATTAGTGACGAAGAAGAACGATAAAGTGACTAGTGTATGCACCTGGTATCGGCGCCAGTTGATAGTCTTATCAATTATACAACTTCAGCATGTATTTTATCGGTCCTAAATCGCCAGAAATAGGTGAAGTAACTGCTCGAAGTCACTATTGGGGTTATTAATAATTATAGCTGAGTCCTATCATGCGCCTGTTCTCCCTCTCATCGACCTTCTAAGCGATCAGACCACGAGTCATGCCCGGGTTCGACCTATCAAGATTTAGTTCCCAGCGAAGGGGTGAGATTGTTAGTAGTTTGGACTGATGCTTATGCCCGCTATATCCGTACTCCTTCTAGTACCAAATATCTAATGATATATGGTAAGCAATAAGACAAAGCTACTAATGTATTCATCATCAGCCATCCTCTGACACATATATTTAGCTCAATCCATCCATCCCCCACCATTGAGTCTACTCCGAATACAACAGAACAAGCACCTGCATCATGAAAATCATCCTCGCCGGAACAACCGGGCTCGTAGGCCAAGAGGTCCTCACCCAGTGCCTGGCCCACCCCTCAATCACCTCCATCCTCGTCCTGTCGCGTCGCGAACTGCCCAATACCATCACCCACCCCAAACCCCAGGTCCACCGCATGTAAGACCAGGACTTTCTCTCCGACTCCGACCCGCATCTCGCCGCCTCCCTCCGCGGCGCCACCCGCATGCATCTGGACGCTAGGCGTGCCACCCTCGCGCGCGTCAGCTGACGAAGAGGCCTCCCGGCGAGTCACGCTGGAGTATACCATCCAGGCAACCGTAGCATTCAACGAGGCCTTTACTGCTTCTCTGGTCGGAACAGGACGAGAAGAAGCCCTTTCCGCGGCCGGCTCAAAATTCCGCTTCGTGTACTTCAGCGGCGGGATGGCGGAGCGCGATCAGACGAAGTCTTTGTGGGTGATGGCGGGGTATCGTCGGTTGAGGGTATGTCTCCTCCCTTTCAGCCATTCGATAATCTACAAACAGAGAGACTGATAAAGAGACCTCTAGGGCCAAGCCGAGCACCCCGCCACGTTCGAGTCATATATCATGCGTCCGGGCATGGTGCTCAGTCGCCAGGGGACACTGGCCGATCGGGTCCGGAGTCTGGCACCCTCCGTGCGGGTGGACGTGTTGGCGCGGGCGGCGGTCGATCTTGCTGTTCGGGGTCATTCGGAGAAGATCTCGGAGAATGCCCGGATTACGGAGTAGGAGGGTGTTGGTGGGCGAGAGAGTTGATCTTGTTTAGTGGTCGTGTCGATGGCAATTGTAGACTGAAAGTCCCCTTTTCAAGTTCCGGGTGCCAGGCAACCACAACTCTTACACTGAAGTCTATACCCAAGATATAGCTAGAGACAGGTATGTCTTCGCATAGTCAGGTCTTCAAGTCTCGAAGAGTCTGATACTTTTGTTAGACTTATTTCGCCTTTAAAACCAAAAGGATGAAGTTCTAAGCCCCAAACTACTCAATTTACAAGAAGACAACTTAAGCTTTGTCAAGAGCCCTCAAGCTTTATATCAAAATTAGCCGAGAAAGCCAAATGTAGAGTTCTCATTGTGGATTATGGGGATAGACAGCTCGCATGCGAGTGCAGCCCGCTTACCGACCTTTACATTGGCGTTGGCTCAATTGCGTTAGATGAACCTAAACAGTGCAAGTGGCTCATCAAACAACTCATCATGCAGGTGCTATCACATCCTCGTCTGCATATCTCATATTCTCGTATCTAGCGCAGAGAAGGTTAGAGGATAGTGCTACATTTGGGCGCGGGAAAAACGCTGTCTCGAGGGTTATTCTACTCACGTCAGCAAAAGTGTCATCTTACTACTCATGAGTTTTCCAACGTCGCAAAGAATGCTCCGATGATTCTGAGGCAGTGGTGGCAGTACCGAGCTGCCATTGCAGGCAACATGGAGCTTCCCCAAGAAGATATCTCAAGGGAGATGAATCTTCTGCAGTATCTCGATGCGGTGCTGGAGGAGCTTAGGGCTTCACAATCCGTGAACCGGAATCAGAAGCATGTCGATCGCCTAAGGAAAGAGAATGCGACTGTCAAGAGGAATCGAGTTGTCTACCCAGCAGAACAGGAAGCTAGTATTGAATGCATAACTAAAGATGTTATCACCGTGCACAGTTCATCAATGGCTGGATTGACTTGAAGCGACAATTTTAGATTCCCAGGCTACACGCAGCCAAAGTGACAGCATCATAGTCTTCATCACCGTCACCATTTTCTTCATGCGTGTAATGCCTCTTGGGCAAGCATGTCGAAATACTGATGACTTCCAATATGGTTACCAGCTTCCTTCTTGGCGAGTCTTTTTGCATTCAGTATCTTAGAGTTTTATTATGAAGATGGTACTACCTAGTAGGTAATATCGCCCATCCCGCTGGATGGGTTCTTCCAATCACATATCAGTACTCATACATCCCTTGCTTACTTTCTCAATGCGACATACTCTGATCATTAAACACCAGTCAAGGCTACATTTGCTTTCTCCCGATTCATCATAGCCTTGTAGGAAGACATTGAGATGAATGTTGCTTAGGTTCGGTATGTTGAGCGACTGGATCATTGGTGTAGGACGGCCATCTCCGTGCTTTGGAGTATGCTGTCTCTTGAGGAGAACATTCGCGGGGTCATGTCCTTTACCACAATAGCTATTTTGTTGTAGGGCACCATTGTGAGGTTCGTTTTCCCGTTAGGCAGAAACGACGGGTCGGCTGTGCATCCTTATTGACGATCACAGATCCAATTAAAAGTTGCTGGTATCAAGAGAACTGCTCTTGATTCTTATCTTTTTCTTGGCAGGAGCCAGTATTCATTCCCGGCTCCGCCTTCTCACTCGGGGTGGGTGACTAGTCAAATGATAATCCTGATTTGATTGAGGATTTGGGTCGACATAATTATCAACGTGGGAAACCGCTGTAGTGACTAAGCCATATAAGTGATATGAGCCATTACAGAGCTGGAAGAATAAGCTGTAATAGAGATTTCGTCGGGGTATGATAGCATTTGAGCTATCGTCGATAGGCCCCTGCCTTTCTGACTCTAGTCATATCCACAAACCCTAGGCCACTCTAGGAAATGCCATCGGTTTGGGCTCCTCATTTGAGGGACAAAGGGTCGGATATGAAAGTTGTCTCGGCGCTAGTTGAATGCGCCAATGTCTATAGCCGTAGGCAAGTCATGAAGTTTTCTCGGAGTGGTGAGTATTCCACCCCCGGGAGTGTATGATACGCTGGAGGCTACCCAGGCACTATTAAGCGCCAAGAGTGTCGACGGACTTCGATCGCGGAGGACTTTTGCCATTGTTTCGTCTGAGGTAGATCATTCCCGAGCTCAAGTCGCGTCGTGCGTGATCCCAGAAGAATCGATATTCCAAGCAAGCACCCCGGTGGGAGTGTCCGAGTGACAGAAATCAAGGGCCGTACTGAACGGTCATGTAGGCGGGTGTATAAGGTTGCGATTTCACGGGTATCGATGGTCTTGGCCAAGGACTTGGGGAAGGAGTATGGCACCCGGATATCTGCCACAAGAGTGTGGTGATGTCGTGGATATCACTATTATGATATAGATGTTCCATCGTAGTAGAGAGGGGTTAATGTGCTAGAGGCGGTGGGCGGCTCCCCAGACTTCGTATAGAACGAGGCCTTGGTCATAAGTCTAAATAGTCTATAACAGGTCTTCGAGCGTTTGGGATGACGATCAAGAGAGAAGGTTGTCGAGGAGCGGTCAACTATACGATAACGCTGCCATTGATCTGAGATGCATTCCCTTATTCACAGGGCTCTCTATCTCGAGTCTATGATTGTAATGTGGCAATCTTGCATATTCAATGATTTGGTGTAGGTGATCAAATCAAGTGGAGGAAGCAGTACTAAGGTTTAAGGTTACCAAAGCCTACCGGTGAATATCCAGGGCTCGGCCAGACTGCACTACTGGTAACTACACGCAGTGAATCTATTCAGTATTAGCTCTTATGAGGTTGCAAGAAGGTTGTGCCTGAATACACGACCCGCTTTGGCCTCTTAGCCTGATATGGTGAAGCGGGTGCAGATAGCCTCGAGTGGCACTGATCGAAAGGAATCGAGATCGAGATCGAGATCGAGATCGAGATTCAGGTCGATGAAGGGCTTGGGCTGGCGCAAGCCTCAAGAACCTTATGTAGACCCAGCCCATGCCGTTGGATGGCAGTTGATAAAGTACAGATCGTATGACTGTTCTGTCGCACGGTTTCGCTCCAGCCATTCGAGTCCAAGTTGGAGAATGCCTTAACTCGATAATGGTACCGGACAAGACTCCGACGACGCAGCGAGGCAGCGAGGCAACCACGTGGGTGTGTGCTGCAATGAACCCCTGTCACGTGCATCAGTTGCCCGATGACGTCGTGGTTTTTTCCCGCTGACCGACGCCTTATCCGTAGTCTGGTACTCCGTAAATTGTTCACTGCTCAACAACCATCTTCAGACTCACTCACCTCATATCCCCTCCTTTTCAGACTTGCTTGACTCGCACTACCATCATGTGTCCTTCAGTCTAGCCTCATCCAGCATAATGAAGAAGACACTGCTGATCGTGTTCATCCACGGCTTCAAGGTACGGTCCGCTCTCGCATCCGCGATTTGCCACGCTTCACCTGTCTTGCGCGCACGGATTGTGTCGGTCGCAAACCATACCTGTTGGTGTTGCTAATACTCGCAGGGGGGCGATGATACATTCGGAGACTTCCCTAGGCATTTTTGCACGGTGGTCAGCCGTGCTCTTCCTGCCGCACGAGTGACAACAGCGGTCTACCCAAAGTACGAAACTCGAGGCGACCTGAGGGAATGTGTGAGCACATTTCGGGAATGGTTCGTCGCATCTTATTTCATGTGATTTCAGTCCTGTTTGGTTGAACGTACCACTAAGCCACAGCCGTCGGTGCAGGCTGCAGAATACAGTCATCGACCTGGAAGTCGCGAACCGAACAGCTTCGCCCACCGTGGATCCTTCGGTTCATGTGTTTCTAGTCGGTCACTCCATGGGTGGGATTGTGGCGGCCGAGACACTCCTGCTACTGTCTTCCGAGCAGCCTCTGCCTCCCAAGCCCGCCGCCCATGTCTCAACGGAGCCCAACGCACCTGGCTCTTGCACCAATTCGGACACTTCCATCGGAGCCGGCTCATTTATGTTTCCGCATATTCAAGGGGTTCTCGCATTCGACACGCCGTTTTTGGGGATTGCGCCCGGGGTGGTTTCGTACGGGGCCGAGGGACAGTTTCGAAATGCTACCAGCGCGTATACCACGTTGTCTGAAGTGGCTGGCCTATTCGGAATCGGAGGGAGCAACAATTCTTCAGGGGAGACAACATCGTCCGAGGAGCCTAAGAAATCTCTACCGACTTCATCGACTAACGACGCCGCTGTCACGCCGTCCTGGCAACGGTGGGGTCGGTACGCGATGTTTGCCGGAGCAGGCGCCCTGGCGGCCGGCGGGGCGGCGGCAGTGTATTCGCAGCGTCAGCGACTAACCGACGGCTGGGGCTGGGTGTCATCCCACCTGGTATTTGTTGGCTGCCTGGCACGCTCTTCCGATTTGCGGCAGCGCCTGGCGTCGCTCTCGGACGTGCAAAAGAATCGCGGGATTGCCTGCGTCAATTTCTATACGTGCTTGGGCAAGAATGCGAGCTCGCTGGTAGAGAACACAACCCGTAGCAATACGTCGTTCAGCCAAAAGATTATACGCTCCAAGGACCGCACTTTCTGTTCGCTTCCAGCGGGAGGCCAAGGCCCGGAGGTTCCGGAGCCAGGTCTCCGATGGGCTAGAGCCGTGAATGATAAAGCTGCAGATGAAATCAAAGCTCACACCAGCATGTTCTTGCAGACTCAGAACCCGGGCTACGCTTCACTCCTTTGCGAGGCAAGCAGAGCGCTAGTGGAGTCAGTCGACCGGGGCTGGTACGCCACGGCTACAGGACCAATTGAGGAGGTGGATGGAGACATGCCGCAGCCCCAGAGTGGCACCCTCCACGAGCACTCCGATGGTGGATTCATGGACAGCGACGATGTAGTGGTCGTGGACTAAAAGCTACGGTGCTTGTGAGGGGGAGGGAGCCAGTGAGGGAAGTCCCTCCCATCCTTACTCCATCTCCTATCTCACCCAACTCATTTGTTCTACTTTCCTCTCGTTGCCAACTCTTCGTGCAGATTGCTGCTGTCCACGGCCTGGAAGTAGTTCCAATGGAACAGATTCTGCATCCGATATTGTCCCGTTGCTCCACTAACTTCCGAAATCAAGTCTGTCGCCTGCCGGGGCAACAATAACACGCACGTCTGAAAGGCGTGAGTTTGGAGCTAGCGGACGAAGGGTCCGATCACATCCAGGCTGACAACGAAGGCGGGGGCCAGACACCAGTTGGCCGCGCACACGAAATGAAGATTCGTGGCTTACATCTGGCGCAGTCACTTTTGTGTGCCCGGGGAAGTATTGTAATAAAGTGATTATACGGTCCATAGGAAAGGGATGATAACATCCGATCATCCATGGACGGTGGACCTTCCCCTTTCCGAAGACCCGGCCGTGCGTCGAGTCCGGGTCTACCATACGGACTAAAGGAAACTGGTTTGGATGGTCTTCCTCCTGATCAGCAACTAAAATCTCTGTCGAGAAGTGAAGTTCCCATCTTCGAGCACTACGGCTCCTTCTAATATCCTCGTCAGACCACCGTTCACTAGAGTATGACAATTCATTTCCTTCAGCGGTTGATTAAACCTCATGAGACCTTCAGCACGTGACCTCGATGGCATTCAGTCAGTTACCGTACCGATACAGTGGGTTTTCTCGATGGTTGGAATGAGGCAATTTGTAGTTAGGGTAGAAGTTTCGTGGAGGACCGAAATTGAGACCCAGACAAATTGATGGTTGGCCTGAGTCAGCGGGCATCTTGAGTAACTTAAGCTAGGTAGTATCTAAGTTAACAGTCACCTATCTTGACCACGAGCAGGACATGACGTAAAGAGCCGGTTTCAGACTCGATCACTCGATCACTCGATCGCCCACTGAATTCCAGATCTTGGGCGGTAGGCTTACTTCCGAGCATAGTCCGAAACAGAACAGAGCCAATGCCGATATCCAAAGCAAATTGGTTTCAGAGAAAAATGTGGTCGACCTCACAATCATTTGTCTCTCACATTAAATGTCCGTGGAATTCATTTCCACAGTACATTTCTAAAAGTCCCGCGCACTACTCGGAACTGCAGTGCCCTTTTCAGGAACTACCTTGTACATGTACTAGTAAGGACTAGACCGGTCTAAGCTTGCCTCAAATAGGCAGGTTCTTGGAGGAGCCTGAGCCTGAGAGGGCAATGTTGAGTCAATTGACCCTTGAATCTATCTTCTCGAGAATTTGAGTGGCAAGCCGGGCGCTAAAATGCACTTTACTAGCGGCCCTACCCATGCGCTGGCCGCAAGTAAGCAACAGTGAGCGACTATACTTCAGCAGCAACTACTTAGTTCACTGCTAATCATGCATAAGCTAGTCAACTACACGGCGAGCTCAATACGGACCGAGCCCGCCTGAATGTGTACGGTATCTTGACTGTACGTTTGAGAAGTATTGGTGGTTGGTTGGTAGGTAGGGTACAGACAGTACTTCTTACCATTCGTGCTTCATCAGCACTACTCTCTCCGGAAACACCCCTGCAGGGACAATGGCGGCTTGATCTCCCTTAGCTCTGGGCAGTGGACAAGCAAACAAGCACTTTAACGAGTGTAGACAAAGAACGAAACAAAGAAATGCGAAACTCCCCCTCCGATCGACTCCTTCGCTCCCCTGCTTCAGCCCCACCCGTGCCTTTAGCTCCTCCAGACTCTCTCCTACTCGGCGAATGCCGAGCGGGCTGATTCTCTAACGGTTGTGGTTCTGACTCGCAGATGAACCAACCAACCTATCGAGTTGAGTAGGTACCTATCTACTCAGTATCTTGTGGCTGTTTCCAGCCCCATCGCCTCAACTAGGCAGATGAAAATGCCGCCATGACCCCCCCCCCTCCTTTCTTTCTCTTTCAAACCCGCCTTCTCCTCTCCTCCTCCCCTCCCCCTCCGTGGATTTGTTTGCTTCTACCCCTGGTCTTTGCTGATTTATGGGGAAGATCTACCTATGCTTGAGCTCCCACTGCAGGAATGATCAGTGATTGTGAAACCAGATAGATACATTGCTCTGGTCACCGCCTCCACTTGGGTGTGGTTAAACTGTTACCCACATCATATGAAGTGGCAGCAGAGCGAAGAGAGAGTGCGAGTGAGAAAAAGAAACAGAAAGGCATGAGAGCTGCTGCAGTGCCGAGCGCAGACTAAGTGTCTCCCTCGGCCGAACAATCATAAATTGAAGCTACCCCGTCTGTGTTTGCCGGTAGCAATCTATTTACCTGCCTGCTAACTGTTTTGGTAGAGTTGGAGCGCGACGGTCGGGACGGGGCCGAGACCATTGCATTCACCACTGCATCCACCCACCCCATATGGCAGACATCTGGTACCATTTGCAGCATCGCTCTCCCTCTTTCCTAATACAAGATAGATTGCCGTCGAGTACAGACCAGCCAATTGTCCAAAGACTAGATTTAGTCTGCTCGAATCTCGGAGAGTGAATCCTTCTCAAACCTGCATAATCTGGCGGCGGATATCTTCTGCTCGGGCCCTGACTGACCTCCGCGGGTTGACGGCGGTCGGTCGGTGCTCAGGCCCTATCGGACTTCCTGCCAGCCAGCCAGCCAGCCAGCCAGCCAGCCTAGCCACACTTGCAATTCCCTTCTTGCAGATGAATATCCACCCCTTGGGCTGCTGTCACTGGCAGTCTCGCTACTACTCTGGACCCTAGATTAAGGTCATTTACGAGCCTACGACTACAATCTCGACCTGATTGGTCCCACAAATAAAGTTAGTGGTTGCATAGATTTATACCTTAGTTAGGGCATTGTCGGCCCTAACCGAACTGCAGAAAATCCACTAGACGAGGTCAACAGACTCAACACAGACTGTGCGGAGATGGGGACAAGGCAAGCACGCCGTGATCATGGCGGACTTGCATTCGTGTCACCCAATAAAGCCCACTTGAGATGGTCAACTTACGATCTTCCCCATATCATTAATTGGGCCTGCACTAACCGACCTGAGTCTGAATTCTCCGACTGGACTTGGAAAAGGCTAATTGGATCAGCTCCTGGAAGTGATTCAACTCGACCACAGTGGAAGCGACACGCCAGTATAAAACCACATTGAGTAACATTGACAGAAAAAAAAAGAATTCTTTTTTTGAATCCATGACGCTGTATGTGGTCGAAGGCTCGCCGTTGCCCATGCACGAAGATCCTGGTTAGCGCCACGTGCGAGGAAAAGCAACAACGGCTGCGAGGGACCGCGTCGATCACCCATTGCCCGAACCGATCAGTCCGACGACGCTGATGGGGCTTCGCATCGCTGTGGAACGCGTTCCGCCGCTCCTCCTGGCCGTTAGGGCACCCCGGTGGATGTACGTATTTCTCATGTAGGAAGACCCGCCGCGCCTCGGGGAACCACCTTCTTTTCGGCCACTTTCGCCTTTGACTTTTTGGTCCTTAGATTTTTTTGATTTTTTTGATTTTTTTTGGTGTCCGATTTTCTCTTTTCCTTTTCTGACCAGTTTTGCCCATTTCAAGTACCGTTTGGTTTGCCTTGTTGTGTTTCACCTGTGTTGTTCATGCGACTTTTCGTGGCCGTATTTGCCCGAGGAAGTATGAAAAGTCCTGAAACCTGCAGAGCGGGTCCGATATCGAACAGGCAACTCGACTTACATAGGAGGATCTCGATTGAACTATGGGGGAGGGGGCCAAACCGTTAGAACTTTGGAGCTCGATTCTCCGCATAATCAGGGGAAAGAACTGGAAAGGAATATTTGAAGGAAATAATCCCAGGAGAGGCGAGAAGAGACAATCATATTCACAGACATCTCGAAAACCCACAACTTTTCGAGAGAAAACAAGGCAGAAATGATACAATACTACCAACCTTGAAAGGGTGCAGATAGACCGGATAAGGCCATTCCAATGAATAATAATCAAATCTGGAAACGGAAGAAAATATAGTAAATTAAAAACGGCGGAAGAAAAAAAAATTCAATCGCAAGGCGGTTGCTTGTCCCCTGCTGCTACTACCACTACCTACAGCCGGCTTGTGATGGGCCATGACCGATGCTGGTAAACAACCACCACTCAACCCACCATCACCATCACCACCACTTTCATATAGAAAATATATTAGACTTGGTCTGGAACGCCCTCAATCATGAACAAAGGCTTTCTCAACCCTGCCCAGAGCCAGAAATCCGTCGAATTGTTGAATCCGATTGTCCCCCTGCTGTTGCTGGAACCCAACTATATCTTCCTCTTACCCTTCGATTGAACCAGCATCCTGGGCCATCTCAATCTCAATCAGGCTCCTATCCATTACCACCGAAAACGTGAGCCCAGAACCCTCAGCTGACCACTCATATCTGCTGTCACTACGATTCCTTCCTCACTCAGCCCTGGTTGAATTTTAAAGATCTGACAGCCATGTGCAACTACGTCCAAAACTACTACATTTACACGGCCTGCTACAGCCCCAATAGCCACTTCTTGAGGACAGAGATGGAAGGCATAAAAGACAATTCATCACGATGTGGGAAAGCACCTCATGAACGATTTATTATTGTGCCGGAAAAGTGTACCTTGTGCATCAAGGAAGGCAAGTGAGTGTTATACAAGAGGAGCTTGGGGGGGGGGAACTTTCTTGCCGGAAGCTGGGGGAGGAAGGGAGATAGTTTCTGCCATGACAGGAGCAGAAGGGAGGATAAGAATCCATGATTCATTGGGAAGAAGCTTCCTTATGGAAGACTGTTATACCCTCCAGGGCTCCCCTCTCCAGCCTCTCAAGCCGTTTAGCTACGCTGCACTGGCGGCCACCTACCCGCTGGGCGACGGACTACCTACTATACTGCTTTCTCCAGCTAACGCCTTCCTCGTTCGACCATCCCGCAACTTCTTCGTCTTTTCTTCCGCCGTCATCCACTGCTGGACTGCCATCTCCATTTCCTTCTCCTTCTCCTTCTTGTCCTCTTTCATACTCTTTCATGTTCTTTCTCGTCTCCTTCTCATTCTGTTACCTCCTGGCTCATCGCCTTGCGACGAGTTCGTGTCTATTTCTTTTGGTCTCGTTGATATTCATTTGCATGGTGCTGGGGGCGGGGGGTTTAGAGAGAGCAGTCTAGAGTTGGGTTCTGCATCCACCGTTACTATCTACAATGGAGAGCTACCTTTGCTACTTGGGATTTGCCTACTGCCGCAAAGTCAAGAGCAAAGTTCGATTTAATTTCCTGTTCTTCCCACCAACGTATTTTTCAAGGACGTCAAATCTCGCTTGCAGGAGAATGGCACCATCACGACTACACTCTTCTTTCCTCCCTCCGAAAAACACGCAGCATCACATGTTCTATTCTCCGGCAATCCACTTTCCGGCTTTTTCCTTCAAATGGAGGAAAAGGCAGCTTCGAACCTTCCCTTAACCCACCATGACGAACTCAATTCGAGAGGAAAAAAAAAAAAAAAACACACACACACACAACAGATAGACATAACAGGCCAGTACTGGGCTGACGCTACACAAGGTCCCGCCTTGACCCTCACCCGCGCAACGGCGGCATTATGGCTCGCAAGGTGTCCTGGGGACACACTCCAGCGCTAGAGATCCTTAGCCGGATTTTAATTACTGTCGACGATGCACGGCGTCGGACGCAAAGGCCTGCAGCACCGTTGCCTGCCAAGACACCTATTATGGGGTCTTTCGATGAAGTCTGTGCTCCATCTCTTGTTCTTCCGCGTCGTCAGCGACCGGCCGAAAACAAGCCAGGCCCTGCAACGGGTTCGACAAGTACCCTTGGTCCGGCGGTCGGGGGTGATTTCCAGCACCGCAGCACAGCCCTTGGAGACTCGAGGGTCGCACCAGCTCGAGCTTCTGGGAGGGGTCTTTGAGGGTCCCTTGTAAGTACCAATCAAGGAGATAGGAGGAGTGAACTCCCGAACGAGAACTACTGGGCGGAGGACAAGAAGAGCGAAGACGAAAACGAGAAGAAGCGCAGGGGCCCACCAAAGCAAATAATTAACAAAAGGAAACAGAAGATCGAAGGCCGGGATCTAGAGCGGGAGAAACAGGATCAAGCGATGCAGCAATCAATACCTCCTGTCCAGTACAGTGAATCCCAGACCCTGTCAAACCCCGTCAACCGGATAAGTATTTCCCGTTCGATGAAAGCACCTATGGCGACCAAACTGCCTGTCACTCGGATTCACATCTGACGTTGCTGTGCATCGGTATGCGCTGCAGGGTTCCTCATGCTGGAACTCAACGCAGAGCGTGGTTACACATCTGCCGACAAGCACACAGGTTGCAACTAGTTACCTTAATCATCTGGTATTGCATGAGACGGTGGATACTCCGCTAGTCTACCGGTTTGTCTGTTGACTACTACTACATCGTCATCCGGTCAGTAAACCTCTCTTTCTGGTTTTCCTTCTCCTTTTTGACCTATTTTTTTGGTTCTTGGCTCTTGTTTTTGAGTCCTTTCTTTTCTTTGTCTTTGTTCTTCTCCTTTCTTATGTGATGTCTTTTCTTGGAGCGGGGATTGGGAAGGAGTTCATCGGCGGCAGCCATTGATAGGCGTGCAAAGCCAACGACGACCACGATCTTCTCCCCCGCCTAGTGCCTATCACAGTATTTGTCATTGGGCAGGTGACAATTCATTTTCAGCAACCAACTGAATTTCGCCTGTCTTGTACGTTTCTTTCCCGTTTCCTTCGATTTCCTCTCTATGGCTTATTTCGAAGTTGGGGACAACCCTGGAAGATACACTGATTGATCGTTCCTCAGGCCAACATTCAGAGCGGTTCCCACTCAACCCACATTCGGACCGATAGTGCATTCCTGCAGGGCATACTGATGGAGCCCCCCCCCCCCCCCGCTCGCAATAGATGAAGAACCGAGTAGTGAGCACCACCGGCCCAACCCTTTGTTGAGTAAACCCACAATATACATAGAGCATGCATAATTCAGTCAGGAAAGAACGGCAGGTGAGCGAGACGCTGAGATAAGGGCCGATGTGCCACCGATCTTGCTTCTGCTTTTGTTCGTCTGAGAGTCTGATCTTTTACCTCCCAGGTCAAGGAGACCCGGTTGGAGCGGATATTTCCAGCCAACCGAAGAACGGCATTCGACCAATCGACGAACAGAATAGTCCAATTCGGTTTCAATTGGCCGTGGATGAGGCGTCGATCACTCTAATCATCATCTCTTTTGACCTAGAATGACGTTTTCGACCCCTCGATTTCAGATTGTCCTTCTGGAAAATTGAATTGATTTCTTTGCATCTCCGTGGCGCATCCATACACTTGTTCCCGTCTTCGGATGAGAAAAAAAATGTTACTTCGATCGGCAAGACTCCACCAATGCGCGGACATATATCCCCGACATTGGGCGACAGAGACAGGCCGGCTGCATCATCGAGTCAGTCACCATGCCCTGCCCCGGCGGCCCAGCTTCCCCCGCTAGATTACTGTGTAGCACCACGGAATTGCTTCCGATGCCAACCCTTCGGGAGATGACACACAACAACGGCTGGATCGAGGATCGAAGTGGGACCCCTATCGAATGATGCATATTCTGATTGCTTCTTTGTCTGCCGCCCATCACCTTTTTTTTTCTTCTTTTCCACCAGTACCGTCCAAGAGAATCAGATTGGAAATCAACGACCTTATGCTAGTATGACCTCATCGCCCAGCAATTCACCTATTCATTGTTTGCTTGATGACAAGGACTCCGAAGTGGAGAAGGCTTGAAACTCGCCATTGATCATTGTGTGGAATCCGGCCTCTGCCGACCACCAACCCATCCCTCGAAAGGGGATGATCCATGCATATTAGGTCCCTGAACACGGTAGTTGCGAGGTGTCAAACTCGCAATTACCGGCGTATATGGGGTGTAAGGTCATTTGTCTCTTGTTCCAGATCGCCATCGGTCGCGTGCCCCTCAGACAAGGGTAGGGGTGCCTAACTGAAGTCAAGAAGCAACACGTAGGCATGCTGATCGCCAAGAAGTTCCAGCGGCAAATTCTGCCACGCTATGGATGACTAGTTTAGGCACTATGCTCAGCACTACTTTTTGACTCAGCTGGAAGGCTTACATACATAGTACATATGCGGTCGCTGGGTATGTTAAGTTTGCTGACAGTAAATCTCGCAGGGTGAGCCGGCTTTTTCCAGGGAGGATCTATGAGCATCGGGTCCCTGAGAGCCCTATTGATCTGGATAGATCTGACGGACTCGCTTACTATTGGAAGTAAGCTATACGGCAACGACTTACTAGGGACTGTGCTACACTCTCGATCTGGGCCACGGAACTGGATTAATGTCCTTAACTCGGCTGAAATCACCACTTCTCTTCATGATATTAGTCGTAATCAACCATGCAAACACCCCCACTGACGAATCGGGCAAGAGCCTCATCAATTATATGAGTATCAGAAATCGGCGCCGGGTCCAAGGAGGGGGAGTACTTTATCTCTCACGCCCATCGTCATAAACGAGGCACTTTGAGATATTGTCAAGCAAACTCACACTAAGCCGCAAGCGGAAGTACGTACATCGGTCCACGGTGCTCCCAAGGGCAACGAGAGGTACTGCACTCAGAGGGGAGCGGTGCTTGCTACCGAGGACAAGCCAAGCGAGGATCGTCAGGGTCCCCCTGTTGTAGCGAGAAATCCCCGATCTACTGGATCGAGGGGATGCACAAGGGTTGCTGTCATTCTTGTCAATTATAGCTATATAATGAGCAATGATACCTGACTTAAGTACTCCTATGTACTATATGAGTATGGAAAGGAGGGATCATCGCATCTGGCGCGATATCCTCCCGCGATACTATTTCCGTATACTGGTTTGGGGACATGCTGATTGGGTCGGGCCAGCTATAACTTACCACTGATATCTATAGTTACCATGTGGGAGAGAGTATAGTATTCAACGAAAACCGGCTGTCATATCAGTGCGCGTCTGATCAACTCATGCAGGAAGCCATAATCGATCCATCAGTTGCGAGCTTGTGCCTTGATCCCCCTCTGGCATAGTCACTCACCCAGATGAGTGAGTACTCACAGACAATTCGGGGATCCCTTCCAGCCACCTCTCGACGGTAAGTTACGTGCCACCGAAAAGGGAGTACGCACGGCATGTAGTTCGTTATTATGTGGTACGGTCGTCAGCACCTTGAACATCGAGATCCAAGACCGTGCGACCTAACTACTATGTACGGTACAATAGCCACCCCCCGGCCCCGGCGGGAATCACATATCCTTTTGTGTGCATGGAACCCTGAATCTCCCAACGCTTCTGCATCCTGTCCTGTCCCCGGACCGAGGGGAGCCTGTCTCTGTCTACCGATACATAGCCACTAACAGTTACAGGCCAAAAAAACGCACAGTACACTACCGTAGATATCCGGTCGCAAGCTAAGGTGCTTATTTTGGGGGGGCCTCGTCTCTCAAATGGAAGTGGAAAAGCTGGTCCCTGGTTGGCTTTTTTTCTTTTTTCTTTTTTCTTTTTTTTTTTTGCTTCTCCAAGAAAATAGAAATTTGTTCCAGCTTCGGTTGTACTGTACTATGTGACATTTTTCTCTCGATAGGCAAGGCAACGGAAAGAATTGAGTAAGCAAGTGCATGCATGACTTTTCCGACAACGGGTGAAGAATATCCCGATATACCAGAGCGTGGGTTCATCGCCT